AGATTTCTTCCTAACCGTCTAGATTTCTTCCTGACCGTTTAATTTTGTATCACCGTTTAGATCTTCCTAACCGTTAGATTCTTCCTGACCGTTTAAATTTTGTTTCACCGTTTAGATTTCTTCGAACGTAGATTCTCCTCGTTTAAATTTTGTTTTCACCGTTTAGATTTCTTCCTAACCGTCTAGATTTCTTCCTGACCGTTTAAATTTTGTTTTCACCGTTTAGATTTCTTCCTAACCGTCTAGATTTCATCCTGACCGTTTAAATTTTGTTTTCACCGTTTAGATTTCTTCCTGACCGTTAATTTTTTTTACCGTTTAGATTTTTTTACCTTTAATTTTTCCTAGATTTTCCTGACTTTAAATTTTGTTTTCACCGTTTAGATTTCTTCCTAACCGTCTAGATTTCTTCCTGACCGTTTAAATTTAGTTTTTACCGTTTAGATTACTTCCTAACCGTCTAGATTTCATCCTGACCGTTTAAATTTTGTTTTCACCGTTTAGATTTCTTCCTGACCGTTTAAATTTTGTTTTCACCGTTTAGATTTCTCCCTAACCGTCTAGATTTCTTCCTGACCGTTTAAATTTAGTTTTCACCGTTTAGATTTCTTCCTAACCGTCTAGATTTCTTCCTGACCGTTTAAATTTTGTTTTCACCGTTTAGATTTCTTCCTAACCGTCTAGATTTCTTCCTGACCGTTTAAATTTTGTTTTCACCGTTTAGATTTCTTCCTGACCGTTTAAATTTTGTTTTCACCGTTTAGATTTCTTCCTAACCGTCTAGATTTCATCCTGACCGTTTAAATTTTGTTTTCACCGTTTAGATTTCTTCCTAACCGTCTAGATTTCTTCCTGACCGTTTAAATTTTGTTTTCACCGTTTAGATTTCTTCCTAACCGTCTAGATTTCTTCCTGACCGTTTAAATTTTGTTTTCACCGTCTAGATTTCTTCCTGACCGTTTAAATTTTGTTTTCACCGTTTAGATTTCTTCCTAACCGTCTAGATTTGTTCCTGACCGTTTAAATTTTGTTTTCACCGTTTAGATTTCTTCCTAACCGTCTAGATTTCTTCCTGACCGCTTAGATTTTGTTTTCACCGTTTAGATTTCTTCCTAACCGTCTAGATTTCTTCCTGACCGTTTAAATTTTGTTTTCACCGTTTAGATTTCTTCCTAACCGTCTAGATTTCATCCTGACCGTTTAAATTTTGTTTTCACCGTTTAGATTTCTTCCTGACCGTTTAAATTTTGTTTTCACCGTTTAGATTTCTTCCTAACCGTCTAGATTTCTTCCTGACCGTTTAAATTTTGTTTTCACCGTTTAGATTTCTTCCTAACCGTCTAGATTTCTTCCTGACCGTTTATATTTTGTTTTCACCGTTTAGATTTCTTCCTAACCGTCTAGATTTCTTCCTGACCGTTTAAATTTTGGTATCACCGTTTAGATTTCTTCCTGACCGTTTAGATTTCTTCCTAACCGTCTAGATTTCTTCCTGACCGTTTAAATTTAGTTTTCACCGTTTAGATTTCTTCCTAACCGTCTAGATTTCTTCCTGACCGTTTAAATTTAGTTTTCACCGTTTAGATTTCTTCCTAACCGTCTAGATTTCATCCTGACCGTTTAAATTTTGTTTTCACCGTTTAGATTTCTTCCTAACCGTCTAGATTTCTTCCTGACCGTTTAAATTTTGTTTTCACCGTTTAGATTTCTTCCTAACCGTCTAGATTTCTTCCTGACCGTTTAAATTTTGTTTTCACCGTCTAGATTTCTTCCTGACCGTTTAAATTTTGTTTTCACCGTTTAGATTTCTTCCTAACCGTCTAGATTTGTTCCTGACCGTTTAAATTTTGTTTTCACCGTTTAGATTTCTTCCTAACCGTCTAGATTTCTTCCTGACCGCTTAGATTTTGTTTTCACCGTTTAGATTTCTTCCTAACCGTCTAGATTTCTTCCTGACCGTTTAAATTTTGTTTTCACCGTTTAGATTTCTTCCTAACCGTCTAGATTTCATCCTGACCGTTTAAATTTTGTTTTCACCGTTTAGATTTCTTCCTGACCGTTTAAATTTTGTTTTCACCGTTTAGATTTCTTCCTAACCGTCTAGATTTCTTCCTGACCGTTTAAATTTAGTTTTCACCGTTTAGATTTCTTCCTAACCGTCTAGATTTCTTCCTGACCGCTTAGATTTTGTTTTCACCGTTTAGATTTCTTCCTAACCGTCTAGATTTCTTCCTGACCGTTTAAATTTTGTTTTCACCGTTTAGATTTCTTCCTAACCGTCTAGATTTCATCCTGACCGTTTAAATTTTGTTTTCACCGTTTAGATTTCTTCCTGACCGTTTAAATTTTGTTTTCACCGTTTAGATTTCTTCCTAACCGTCTAGATTTCTTCCTGACCGTTTAAATTTAGTTTTCACCGTTTAGATTTCTTCCTAACCGTCTAGATTTCATCCTGACCGTTTATATTTTGTTTTCACCGTTTAGATTTCTTCCTAACCGTCTAGATTTCTTCCTGACCGTTTAAATTTTGGTATCACCGTTTAGATTTCTTCCTGACCGTTTAGATTTCTTCCTAACCGTCTAGATTTCTTCCTGACCGTTTAAATTTAGTTTTCACCGTTTAGATTTCTTCCTAACCGTCTAGATTTCTTCTTGACCGTTTAAATTTTGTTTTCACCGTTTAGATTTCTTCCTAACCGTCTAGATTTCATCCTGACCGTTTAAATTTTGTTTTCACCGTTTAGATTTCTTCCTGACCGTTTAAATTTTGTTTTCACCGTTTAGATTTCTTCCTAACCGTCTAGATTTCATCCTGACCGTTTAAATTTTGTTTTCACCGTTTAGATTTCTTCCTGACCGTTTAAATTTTGTTTTCACCGTTTAGATTTCTTCCTAACCGTCTAGATTTCTTCCTGACCGTTTAAATTTAGTTTTCACCGTTTAGATTTCTTCCTAACCGTCTAGATTTCATCCTGACCGTTTAAATTTTGTTTTCACCGTTTAGATTTCTTCCTAACCGTCTAGATTTCTTCCTGACCGTTTAAATTTTGTTTTCACCGTTTAGATTTCTTCCTAACCGTCTAGATTTCTTCCTGACCGTTTAAATTTTGTTTTCACCGTCTAGATTTCTTCCTGACCGTTTAAATTTTGTTTTCACCGTTTAGATTTCTTCCTAACCGTCTAGATTTGTTCCTGACCGTTTAAATTTTGTTTTCACCGTTTAGATTTCTTCCTAACCGTCTAGATTTCTTCCTGACCGCTTAGATTTTGTTTTCACCGTTTAGATTTCTTCCTAACCGTCTAGATTTCTTCCTGACCGTTTAAATTTTGTTTTCACCGTTTAGATTTCTTCCTAACCGTCTAGATTTCATCCTGACCGTTTAAATTTTGTTTTCACCGTTTAGATTTCTTCCTGACCGTTTAAATTTTGTTTTCACCGTTTAGATTTCTTCCTAACCGTCTAGATTTCTTCCTGACCGTTTAAATTTAGTTTTCACCGTTTAGATTTCTTCCTAACCGTCTAGATTTCATCCTGACCGTTTATATTTTGTTTTCACCGTTTAGATTTCTTCCTAACCGTCTAGATTTCTTCCTGACCGTTTAAATTTTGGTATCACCGTTTAGATTTCTTCCTGACCGTTTAGATTTCTTCCTGACCGTGTAGATTTCTTCCTCTACGTTTAGATTTCTTAGTGGAAACTTACAATGGAGGTCTCCCAACGTATGCTCACAGATTTGGACGAAATTAGTGTCAATCGATCACAATTATAATTAGAATGAAATTTGCAAATGGAACTATCTGCCAATGCGCAGGTTTGCCAGAGATATTTGCATAAAAAGAGGAGAAAACGCACCAAAAGGCTGGCATATTTTTCATTTTCCAAATTTCCTGCACATTTTTTCTGATTTGAATGCAAATATCTCCGCCAAACCTGCGCATTGGTAGATAGTTCCGTTTGCAAATTTCATACTAATTATATTTGTGATCGATTGACACTAGTTTGGTCCAAATCTGTCAGCATACGTTGGGAGACCTCCATTGTTAGTGGTATCACGGAGTTTATTATTATTTATTATTTTATGAAAAAACGTAAAAGTAATTATGATTAGTTGTAATGCGGAATGGATAATTGCAATACCACGTGTTATAGTTAAGTTGTGTTACTTGATGTAAACCAGTCATTAAATTGTATTATCAAAGAATAACATCTGAATAAATTACTATCAATCAATCCAATCTGTGCATCATAATCGGTGCAAATATGCATTAAAAATAGTTTTTCGGGTTTTCCAAAAAACTTTAGGGGTCCCCTAAGCAATAAATAACTAATTTTCTACAGAATCAGAAGCATTTTTATTTAATAGTAAACCGTATTAATGAAAATGTATTAATTTATTTCAGCGCTTTTCCTAACGCATTTATGTCTGCATTAAACAAAATTTCCACCTTTTTGTCTTCCTTTCGGAAGGAGTTGGCAACTATGACGCTACCCAAGAGAGAAGTATCAACGCTGAACCAGCGAAATCTGTCCAAGGGTTTGATTATCGTGCGAAAAATGGCTTCGGCGATTCGAAAGTCGTCCCGATGGTCGACAAGTAGGAGGCCAGGGCGATAAATGGAGAGTCGGTCGAATCCCATGGTGCTGAGTTCCTCCTCCACCTGCCCTTTTGTCTTGGGATAGAGGAAAAATGCGTTTTTGTTAGCGCCAGCAGAGGAAACGAGGTGAAGGTGTCTAAGGCCACCGGCCTTGGCTAATTTCGCCGTGTTGATAACATAATCGTGATCCACTTTGTAGAAGCCGGCAGCGCCAGATTGTGCCCGGGTTGTGCCGAGAGAGGAGAATCCGACATCATAGCCCTAAGAAGAAATAAAGCAAAATAAAATTTCGAGGAGGTTTACCGAGGAGTAAATAATTAATTTAAGCCAAGGAGAAAGTTGGTAAAAGCTTAGTCCACATTAGTTATCCCGCAATTCCCTTTAAGCAAGAACACGATTATCTGTTTGGTTTGATATTTGATGGTAAAAACGTCAGCACACGTGCTGAAGAGTACACAGGCACGTCCTTTTTTACGTGGCGGTGAAAAACTGGATGTGGACTATCGTGCATTTAACTTTATTAATGGGAAAGGAAATGAGTACGCTTTTCGTCGGCCTAATAATGATAAGTCCGGAAAACTCTCCCAGAAATTAATCTAATCCATGCATACAATTTCCAGGTTAAGTCCGGTTTTGTCATTAGGTTAGGCCGACGTTTTGTAAGTATTTGTTTGTGGATCGCAAAAGTCTTAAGCTTGTGGATCGGCCCTCGAAGCAATCACCTTGAAGGCATCTTCGTACTCAGACAAGTTATCGAAATCAATAATTTTCTCGTCAAACTTGTCATAGCGTTTATCCTCATCGGGCGACGGGAGGGGGACTTGACGACGTCCAATGAGTGTAACTTTTGTGAATTGGGGCGATTGGGCGAGGGCCTTTATGATCTCTCTCCCAACTAAAAGTGGTCACACAAAAATAGCATCTTTAAATGATTACGTTGTTAAATTCAAGTCAAATTAACGTCATTATATATTAATTCAATATCAGTACTTGTAGTATTTAATTCTAGTTACTAATAAATGGCTGACCTGCGCCGGTTCCTCCCAGCACGAAAGCGGACAAATTTTGCCCCTGTGCCATTTTGAAATCGTACGGGACCGAGAGAATGTGTCGCAAATGGGAAGGGTCAGAGTAGAAATATATTCCAGCGCCGAGTGCGATAAGTGAGGTGACAGTAACGAGGCGACGGGATCCCATAAAAATTTGCAAATCGGACTAATTTGGAATTCAATTGGATATTTGACGAACTAAAGGAGAAATTGCAAAAAGTAATCTACAAATTCTAAAATACATACATGTATTAATAATAGTAGTAATATAATAAAGCTTACAAAAACTTACGAAAGCGAAACTTGCTTTGTTTAGGTCAGGTTTACCCAGCAGTCAGCGGCGGACTGTCAGCCGGTGCTCGATCCTGAGAGGTATAAAAACAATAGGACCTATAGTCACACCTATAGTATAGGTCCTATACTATAGGTAAACAAAGGTAGTTTCGAAACTTACTTGCGAAATGTTGAAACACGACGAGGGCAAAATATCAATAAATTGAATGATCAAGTACACGAAACGAATATTTAAGACGAGTTTAACTGAAAGTCGAAAAGTAGTCGATAACCGATCGATAAAGCTAAGTTTTCACTGTTCAGTTTTGTTTATGCAATGTCACTGTGGGACTTGCAACAAGCATGTGTTGAGGTAGGGCTCAAGGTATTATATCCTTCCCATTTTAATTATAAAGTGTGGGTCATATATAGGTCACAAGTATGTTTTGGGTCAAAATTTTCCAAAAAATTATCACATGCTTTATGTACGACCCTGTGCACTTAGCGGCTGATTTGTTGGTTTTTTGCAGTCTCACCATCGCGATGGTACGATGCATCGTCTCATCTTGCAAAACATGGCCTTGTTTGTGATTTATGGAGTAAAATTAACTACATTATTGATGCGTTAATTAAGTTTTGTATAAATTAAAATTGGGCTTGATATATACTTGACGGTCAATTGGCCTCAATTATTCTGACAGGATTGAATTAAGTCAAAATAGTAAAGAATTTGCAGAAAAGTCCGCATCTCATCTTGCCTCCAGCAACATTTACAGCATCATCTTATCATCTTAGTTTCAATTCAATTCAATCTTTATCTAACTACTAACTATGATGTTGCATGTTAAGATCGCCATAATCAAATCATCTCATCCAAGTGGTTTCGCTTTATACGTGGTAATTAGGTAACTTAACTAAATGTTAACTAAAAATACACAAGTTAATTGAGTCTCAAGTCTCAATCTACTTGTTTTTTGTGCATTTTTATTCTTCTCAAATTGAGACGAATAAAAATAAACTTAAATCATATCTCTTTTGTTTTGTTACTTTCGAAGATGATAATGGCACACGAAATTGAAATTTCCTGTGTATCATGTCTCTCAAATTGAGAGTCTCAATTGCTATCATTTTATTTCTATAGAGGCAATTTTGAGACTTAACGGCACCATCATGACTAAAATTCCCGAATTGCCCGAAAGTTGGTTATGTCGCCGTGGACGTGGTGGTGAGGGCTTCAACTAACTAAATGTGTGAAAAATTCAAATAAAAAAAACATCTCGTCGCCGTTTTATTTCCACCGTGCTGCCAGAGCAGGGCTCCATTTTTCACCTCATCCAACATATTATTAACACAAGTTGTGTTACGCAACAGCTCGTTCCCTCCGTCCCTTCAGGAGAGCCTTTGTCACCGTTTTACACGAAATATAACAAGAAGTGAGGAAGAAGTAAAAGGAGGTTGAAAAGCAGCAAATAAGAACAAGAGGAGAACAAAGGTAAGAACTTATCGAATATGTTACTAAGTTGGTTATTCATTATCCTAGGGGAAGTTTTGTTTTGGGAAAATCGAGTCAGCCACTCGAATCAGTCGATTTTTTTAAAAATCAGGTCAGGTGCAGGTGACATTTGGTTTTTCTTTGTCGCTGTACAACTTTTCTGCGAATAAAATGACAAAATTGGGTACACAGTAAAGGGGATTCGTATGGCTAATCTTTGACCTATATTTGACCCTTATTTGCATCCAGTTAGGATCAAGGGCGAAGATGCCACCGAAAAAGGAAGAATTCAAACCCAAACCTTCAGCAAAGGTGAGGATAAAGTTTAAATTCTAAGCCATGTTATCAAAGTTGTTGATGCCTACTTGTCATCTTTTTTAAATAGTCCGAAAAGAACAAGCCCAAGGGGGGGAAAGCTAAGGTGAGCGAGTTCAATATTAAGTTTGTATACTAACATGTAATTTACATGATGTAAATAAGGTTGTGAATTGTAGTAAGCAACCTTCTCCCCTTTTTGATAATCAATTTCAAATCGTAATGTTTTTGTTTTGTTTTATTTGTTAGGATGAGGCTCGTGCGAAAGCAAAGGTATTTACTCCAATTAAATAACTGATTAACATTTTAAGACAAATTGACAAAATTTGACGTAACAAATTATTTATACAACTATAATTTATAGGCCAAGGAGGCAGAAAAGAAGGCCGCCAAATCGTAGTCGAGACTTGACAACACTGCTGGAATTATCTTAATTAAGAAAAATTATAAAATACAAACTTCCCAAAACTTTGCTTAATTTTTTCCTGTATGAATTAATTAGAAATTAATAATGTCCACTAAAAAACTTATAACTTCCAAATTTTAATGATGTGTATTATCAAAATGTATTTTTTTCTTTCGGATTGGATTTGGCGTGATTGGCGTATGTAATGTGCTGTGGCTCAAATAGAAATGATAATTCCACTTACGAATATTTAACTACGATTTAAAATTAACGTACACTTTGTAAAAATTATTATTAAATTGTTTGGCTGGTTGTTGTCCACCTCTCGTCAGTTGTTGCGACGGTATGCATATAATACAGTGCAAATAAATTTAATGATATACATGTAATTCCAAAGTTGTGTTCGTGTTAATTGTTTGTTGTTCTTGCAAGGACTGAAAATCTGGGGGCATCATTAACTATGTCTGGTTAGTAGGTCAGAGGTCAAATGATAGGTGATTTATTATGCATTTAATTTATTTAATTATTACTTAATCTTCATATTATGGAGGCAATTTACTCATCGTCGATATGCTTGCAAGTATCTCGTATAAAACAAAGAATTGATCTGTAAGTTTGAAATAGATAGTTTGAATCTGATTTTCTTGTGAATATTTCGCAAAAACGTTTGTATATTTACAGAATTTGATAACGTCATCGTTAATTGTCCCATTTATTTTCATGGGTTTAATATTGAATTCGATATTTCCACAATGAATTATAAAGTTTCAAATAATATTGAGATATTTGTGCAATTTTTGAAACCAAGCGATAATGTGGCTCGGTTTTGGTTTGCGGCGTGGGTCTGTAACCCTGTCAAGGTTATGCACATACATACCTTTGGCAGGTGATTTCATGATTTTCTTTGTTACTACAGTGTACGACTTCAAATCCAATCCAGTAACTAAAAATTATGTCCATTTTGTAGTGTGTGTGGGTTTAAACCGTGAAGTGAACCTTGTTTTTTATCGAGATCTCAGCCCACTAGTTTTACATGCAGTTTTCCTAAAGAAGATCCATCCTATCCAGTTTATAGCACAAAGTAACTTTGTGTGGTGAGTGCTATAGTAAGACATGAGATTAGTGAGGTTTAGAAATCAGTCGAACTTTGGTTTGACTCGACTCGACTCCGAGTCGAAGTCTCAGTCGAGTCAGATTTTTAAACCTGTTTTAGAAACGAGTAAATTTTTTCTGACTCGACTCAGTTTGTACGCGGGCCATTCAAATCTCAATTGTTGTACCTCTCAGTTTGTTTACCGTAGTTGAACTAAATAAAAACATTTGTGATTTTAATTGCATTTAGTAATTTTTTGGAACAATCGATCTGTATTCCATTACAAACCGCTGCATCTCTTCAACATTTCGCCACCTAAACTAGAGGATTTCTTAGCTTAGATTAAGTAAGGTATTTATATGCAGAGATTGTAAATGTAAAAATGATCGTGTCGTTAAATACAACTTGATTCGATCAATCATTTGAGATCATTTATTTATTTTACATATATCTGACAACCTCTGAAGTGATGAGCATGGATCACGGACTAGATTACATCATAATTATCTGTCATACAAGAAAATAAAGTACTGTTGTTTAAATTTGAAAGTGGGTATTTTTAATCCATGCTCCCTATCATCCGATTTTTTAGAAGTTCATAAAAGTTGTCACGCTTGAATTTGTTTTTTGTGGGGGAAGATCTTCTTATCGCCAGCGTCTTTTATATAATCGTTCATAGCATCTTTGATAACCTGCAGGAGCTTTTTCATTTTTTTCATCGTAATTTTCTTCACGTCCAGACCTTCTACACAGCACAAAAAGATAACAAGAAAATGAAATTGCATTGTTAAGTTGGAAATGCAATTTGAGGCTTGATACGGTCACGATTTATGTTTCTTGATAAACCACTGCCGTATTTATAAGTATAGAATTCAACTTACATTCCAGACACGATGTTATTTCCTTTTTACACCTCTGCTGTATCACAAATTATTATAACTGCGATTGCGATAATTAACTAGTTGATTGAAATAAATCAATTGGAAATAATGAACACATGTAGTAAGGAGAGAGTTGAATGTGGATAAAGTGAGAATGTTCATAGAAATTAACCTGCCGCTTGGGGTAAAATGAGAATAAGCATAGAAAACCTGAGTCGAGTCAGGCCGACTGGCGAGCCCAGTTCTCAGTCAGATTTACTGAGGAAACTCGACTGGGGGCCATTTTGGATTGAGGCCTTGCTGTTGCGGGTCGAGTAAAACACAAGTTTGACTGACTTCTAAACCTGCCTATTGCTTTAAAGTATTTTTTGTTGGTCATGGTTGGTTATAAGGTTTTGCTGGCTGTTGAATTTTGAGAGGTGCATTCGTACATAATACTGAATACATAAGTAAATATGTACAAGTAACAAGCTGGAGAGAGTTTGACAGTTCTTAGCGGGTGCTATTTGCAAATAATTTCATGGTTTATGTGCAAAGTTGTAATTAATAGTTTAGTAGCGTAATTTAGTTAATCGGTGCTCGTTTAGTTTATTTATTTTTTGGTACGATGAGACTGGACTCTTTATTTGTGATGGTAGTTTGGTGGTTGGCATTGATGATGACTTGCGTCGCCGGAGATGCAGCCTCTAAAGGGGTCAAGAATGTGCTAGCGTTTGGAGGAAACGGATTCATAGGTGAGAAAAAAACAGCGACTTATTACCTTTTTTGATCAATACTTACTCATATTTTAATTTAACGTACATTCACTTTACAAAAATTGTGCCGGTGAATTTATTCACTGCATTGAAACAGAGTTCAAGTATTTAAAAGTTACATAAAATTTGTAAAAAAAACTGACTACGCAGTACAGCATGAATCCTCATCAATAGTAAAACTTGTAAAACCTCCATTCATGGAAAAGTTCACAAGTTATTTTCAAAACGTTGTATTCATTACACAACTTTGTACCAAACCAAACTTGTCATTCCGTAAAGTTTTAAATGTTTAGAAAGCTAATTTTCCGTCTGAAAAATTCTGATGTATTGTCTGCAAATTTTTTAATTTGTCAATAAAAATGGTTATTTAAATATTACTGGGGGGGATTCACGAGGTTCTCTAACGTCACTTTAAAAAAATCTTACGAAGCTGTGGGCAACCTACGTAGCGTAGTATATGTTGTTCGATGAGCGTTCTTTCGAACTCGAATTTTGGAATCTGTATTTTTACTTCCAGTTTTTGCTGTTGGGCTTGAGTCTCAAGCCTTGAGTGAGACTAGTTGGGACTTGGGAGAATAAGCAAGATGCAAAATTTGCGGAGTTTTAGAGCTGCGCAAGCTTCGCATAAAAAATATGTATTTTCTTTTCTGTGCAAAAATTCGCATCATTCACAAACTTCGCAAATGATGTTGCAATGCCATGTCCACATGAATCCCGAGAATTTCGCAGAAATTAAAATTTTTGAGAATTGAAAAATATATGATGTATTGTTTGATAAAGCATAGAAGGGTGAATTAAAACAGAAACTAAATACAAGATATGTATGTCTGATAAGAAACAAAATTTAAACCCTAAATCATGGAGTATGGGACCAGCAGCAAATAAAAATGCTTTCAAAAATTGTGTGCCAAATGTTTCACTCAGAATTGTTGTAATTAATTGAATATTATTATTAATTTTGCATTTATCCCCCACCACAGGATCCGAAGTGCTGGACGCCCTGTTCACGGACCCCACCCAATATTACAGCGTCACCCTCGTGTCCCGCGGCAACTGGTATTTCGACTCCGCCACACGCATTAAACCCAAACTTCACAAAACCATTTCCTGCGATCGTGAAGATTCCGATCTCGAATTCTGCACTGATCTCGTGAGTTATTTTGAAGAGTCGAACAGCAATTTTCATCAAAATATACGTATGTATATCTTTCTAATTTTCGATTTAGGTCACATATATCAAAGAAACGCCAAGGATCGACATCGTCCTCGACTTCTCTGCCTACAATGCAGCCGTGATGTCAGCCTCTCTCGACCTCTTGAACGAGAAGGGTCCTGACAAAGTCGGCGTCTACGTTTTCATCTCGTCCGACTCGATCTATGAGGTTTGTCGAGGCTCGGCAACCCCACGTGTGGCCGGGGAGGAGGACGACAAACGCCCAGAGAGCGAGGAAGAGCGGAATCTCTTGAATGAAGGAGATTCTTATGGGAATGATAAGCTCGAGTGTGAAGAGGTGGATGATATACTTAACAATGAAACAATTCACTCAGAAGCTTGTAACCCAGCACAGTAACCACATTTCGGCAACTTTACAAAGATTGTCATGTGGCTAAAAATCTATTGCAGACTTCTTCAGATTGTGGGCGTCCAACTTTACAAGGATTGCTGGGTGTACTGCGTTTACGCACAAATTCGGAGTGAATTGTCTCAATCACAGTGGGTTATCCTTCTCATTACGTTACAATCTGTTCTGATTTTTAGTTACTTCGAGGACCAGGGAATAAAATTCCTTACTTGATCTTCCGACTTCCCGATGTTCTTGGGGCACGAGATACAACGGACAGGTGGTGGACATATCAAATGTGGATAGAATTCTACGATTTTCTTAAAGTAAGGAGATAAGATACGTGTAAGTGGGTTATATAAAGGTGGATCAAGATGCTATATTAGTTTATCTATGAAATAATGGCAATTTTTTTTATAAAAGTTCACCAAAATTCCCACAAAAATTTTGATCTACAATTATATACCACAACCACAAGAGCAAAACCGTTATTTTTCCAGATGGGAACATTTGTGAATAGAATCTTCGGTTAATTTATAAAGGTTGCCATTGTCCTTATCAAGATGGTTTTACCTTATCTTAGGTCCCGCTCCTCATTCCTGTGGAAAATAGGAAGTTAAAGACGTCGTACGTTTATGTGAAAGACGTAGCGCGTGCCATTTTGCTGGCCCTGAACAAACCTGAGAGTTGGAAGTCCGTCTACAATTTAGGGTTGGAGGAACCCCTCACTTTGCAAGGTGAATTACTTTCATATTTATTACGTTGAGGGCTAATTTATATTTATTAACATTATTATTGATGTTCTAATTCAAAATTCCCAGAGTTTTTTGAACGGATGGCGGTTGCGGTGAGAGGCCAAGGTCGCGAGGCGGTGACCTTTGACACGGGCGAGTTTAACGTGTTTCCCTCCGTGTCGAGAGGTTCCGTCACGATTGAGAAGGCCAAGAGAGTCCTGGAATGGGAACCAAGCACGTGGGAGACTGTCTTTAAGGTAAGAATTGGATGTGCTATCGATTTGGTACAAAGACGCGTGGTAAAGTCATGCTTTTAATAAAAAATTATTTACGACGTTACATACTTATAACCTTTGACCTTTGTTATAGGAAACTGTGCCCTTTTATAAAGAAGCTTTTTACAAGTTTACGTCAGAAAGAGACGACGCTTCGAATCAGGTTTGTTGTGTCCCACCGGAAATGTGGGGAAATTAAACTTTCGTCAAGGTTTCATTTTTATTTTTATTTCAATATTGATTTTTTAATCAGTTGACGCGCTTTGTGGTCCCGCGACATCGGAAAGGCGAATTTTTGCGGATTATCGACGAACTAGCTGCGAATCCTGGAATCAGTTTGGATGAGCATTGTATGTATAAATAAATTATGCAAGTTATTGGTTACTCTCAAACTGAGAGTAACTTATAAATTTACAATTTTAGTGGCCACGTTGGGAGGAGGGTCAAACGATCAAGGTGGTGGTGGGAGTCAAGTCACTCCGGAACAACTTTTCGAGGAGATGATGACGAGGACGGAGCTGTAATTCCATAAACTATTATTCCATTCCATTCCGAATTTGTTGGATTTTACTCAGTAATTTAAGAAGACGAACAATAAAACGATGAGCAATTAGATACAACCAACCTAAAAGCTGGTAAAAAATGATTACTACTAGTACAATAATTCCTGGTTCGGCCGATGCAACGCTCACCAATAGTTTTTGTTTCATTTATTTATTTATTTTCTACAGAGACTAGCTTAAAAACTTAGGAGGTACGAGTATCAATAAGTACGTGTATACAGAGTTTTCGATGAGGATGTGCGGTATTGAAAATGCATTCGAACATGGCACTACATAAAACAGTAATTCTCTTCCGTAGTTTAACAAACTGTGCAAACCTTGTAAATTTTCACTGACGCCACTTACTTGGGCCGACAAGTTGTTAAATGTTTAATTGTAATCTACATTAATGGCATCGAAAGATTTCGTATTTTACAAAGTTTGCACAATTTACAAGTGAACTTTACTGTTAAAAATATCGACGCGATGAATGCAAGTTTTTGCGAAATTCAGCAGCAAAATTTGCGAATTTGTTAGTTAATTAATTCTCACGCTGTCCTTTAATTGGGACGAGTTCCACCCTGAAGGGCACCGTCCTCAAGTTGTCCTCATCATATTGTTCCCTCCTCGCCCCCGGTCGGACCTGCTGGTCCAAATAGTACGATTGGGCTGGAACGGCGCTAATTTCTTGACCTTGACCCCCAGATGACCGCTGTTCTCGCGTCAAAAACTCAAAACTGTTTTCCTGCTGATAGGGATTCTTGACGAGCTGCTTGGTAATTTTTCCATCCGGGGAAACGTGCGTGTAGTAGGCGACTGACTTGGTAGAAAATGGGTCAGAGGTCAACGAAGCAGAGTCCACGGGTTGATAAGTCACCACCGTGCGGAGGGGGATAAGTTGGGGCGAGAAATCGTTGTTGGAGGTCGGCACAGGTCGTCGAAATGGTTTTGAATCCTCAACGATGAAGTTATTGGCCAAGTGAGGTCGTCGAGGTTTGGCGTCGTCGGGGGAGATGAAATTGGACGGGAAGTGATGATAAGGTTCTGGTTGATAAGGTTGATTCGAAGAAAAGTGGAAAACTTGCTCTTGCCGAGCTCTTCCAGCGGATTCGGCCGGAACAAATTTCTTTTGCTGAGAGGGTCCGTTATTTAAATTGAGTGTCTGTTGGATCTTCTTGATGACTTCGAGGTGGTCGTTGTCCTCGTTTTCCTCTTGGCTGGAGGTATCGAAAGCTGCTGACGAAGGCGTCGGCGGAGTGGTGAGAAGGTTGGAAAATGGGAAGACGCCATCATCCGCGGATTCTACAAACTCTTCAACTTTTTCGCCCAGACCGGAAGTGATGTTTGATTTTGGCGGGTCAATCACCGTGATAATGTAGTGGACCTTGTTCTTATTGCCGATTGCGGTTATTGTTTGGGGGGCAGGAGAGGTCAACGGGGTCAGCGTGGTGGTGGGGTCATTGTCTGGCGAGAATGTCGTGGTTTCTTCGGATGAACCGGAAGCTGTCGTGGTGGTGACGTCTTCTGACTTCCGGTCTTCTTCGTCAATAATGCGATACACGGGTTTGAACGTTTGGGTGAAGACACGGAGTGGGACGCCGCGACGTGGGGGCGATGTCAGTTCTCTTGGGGGAGGAGGAGGGACATGAATTTGTGGCTCTGACGTGGTTTCTTGCTCCCTTGTCGTCGTCGTTGTTGTCGTCGTCGTGGTCGTGGTGGTCGTGGGTTCTTCTTCCGGGGTGAATGTCGTTTCAGAGTTTTCGACAAGGTTGACATCGCCAGGGTAGAAGGTGGGCGTTTGTGTCGTCGTGATTTCGGGTGTGGGTTCGGGTTCCGTCGTCGTAGACTGAGCTGGACGTCGAGAGTGATGTGATGACTTGACGTTGTGCACCTTTCCACGCGATGACAGCGTCACTTTCCGCTCTGGTCGGGGCGTTTGTAACGTTCTCGACAAAGTGGCAGGCTCATTGACCATTCTACTCTCGTCGACGTATTGGACGTCTCTACTTTCGTCGACGTGGCCATTGTCTGGAGACATGTAGGGAGGAAATGTGTAAGGAAGTGGCGTTGTCGTCGGTAGCGTTGTTGTCGTCGTCGTCGTCGTGCGTGTCGCCCTTGGTGTAACTCGCCCAGTTGTGGCGGCAACCTTATCAACATACTTTTTCGGTGGAACGGACGGTTTTCTGGAAACGTATGGATTCTGGTAGTACGCACTCCACACGGGGAGTGTTGTCGCATCGGCGTCATCATAGCGTGGCGTTGTCGTCGACGTCGTCGTCTTGTACGTCCTCACCATCACTTTGCTCGGAACACGACCATGTTTCGTCTTCTGTGGCGAAACGGTGGACGAAATGGCGTCGTCATAATATTCGGAAACTTCTTCCTCCAATTTTCTCCCGGGTTTTTTCCTCGACAATTTTTGACCATAATGGCCATTCAGTCCCGATTGACGAACCGGACGGTCCACATTCACGTCCTCCGCGGCGTCTGGATCTTGTCCCCAGGTGAGAAGAATCGGAGACAAAATCAGGCACGTGAAGAGTACAAGGAGAGAAAAACTAGTCGCCATTTTTGTACGAGTTTTATTTGCACACAGCTTTCTCAATTAGAGAGATAAGTGCTTATCTTTGTCCCCACTTATCGCGCGAGGAGACACTGACAGGGACGCACTTTGGGAAAGACTGAGTCCCTTTTTTCAAAAACTTGTTGTTAAACGTTTAATGAAAATAGGGGCTCGTTCATTGGCGAACATTGCAATTTTTTGCGTGAAGGGATGAAGGCATTCTCATTTTTCATGAGGCAAGGGGGCCGTGCAGGAGGGATGAACTATCGGCCGCGATAACCCACATGAATAGCAGCACATTAAACTTTGTATCCTTCCTAGCACCTAATATTGGTTGCAAAAAGCGTCAATTTTTTTCTAAAATGAGACCACACTCTTGATGTGCGTTCGTCCCGTAAGATTTGCCAACTTTTTTATGGTCATTTGTTAGCACTTTTTGAATGAAGTGAATTTTTGTGGGATTTCATTCTCGCTGAAGAGTGAATGCATTTTTATTTGCATTATTAAGATTGGTGTTTACAATTCATTAAATTTGGCGAGGAGAGGATATAATTTTGCTTAACACAAGATATGTGCTGCTCATTCATTGTTATGAAAATTTAAATTATTTTTTAACTAAAACTAAAATTAAGCGAGGGGGCGCATCAATTGAAAACGAGGTATAAGAAGACTAATTATAAGAAAAAGACGTACGTAATAAGGGGATAAAGTTGGAATCAAAGGGACCATACGAACATAAAGCATGTGCATTTTTATTTTTCGGAGAGTTGAGAGCCCTCCCCCCGGTCAATCAGAGTGTTTATACACCGTACCAATATGTATGAATGCATTTATTATGCGCTCTTGAAATGATTTATTAAGTAGCTTCAGCTACTTTATGCGAAGACTTTGTCCGTCTGTCTGTCCGTCTGTCCGTCAGCAGGATTACGAGAGAACGGATCAAGATAATCGAAATCGGTTTGCGGCATCATACATAGGACAATAGGGGGAGGATCCTATCAACTTTTGGGGACAATCGGACCACACCCCTTGGCGCCAGGGGGTGTGGTCGGGGCAAAATGAGATTTGTAGTGCAATTGAATCCATGGATGAAATAGAGTGAAATTTTGTGTTCACTTGTTGTGCCACACCCCCTGGGCGCCAGGGGATGTGGTTGGGGCAAAATGAGATTTTACTTAAAAAAAATGAATCTATGGATGAAATACAGTGAATTAAGTGTTCCCGCGATGTCGTGGGAGTGGTTGGGGTGAAATGAGTCTGAAGCTACTTCCTTATGTGCGTTTACGACGGTTTATTATTAACGGTGCATATTAATTTTGCAGAAAATTAAGCAAAAATTTAATGGAAACGATTAATATCAAAGCTTGTAATGCTCAGAATTGGGATGTGAGTGATTAATATAAATATGTATGATGTAACTATTTATTTATTTTTATAAGTACGCATTTTTACACAGTTAAACAAGTACATCATTTGAATGGAGATAAAAACAATAAATACTTTTAATTATTTGTCACTGTCAGTTTCCTTTTCCTCGTTTTTCTAAAATTACGTAAAATTTAGCGAAACTGAAATACGACAAATACTAGATATGTACTCGTACTGCATATATATATACATACATATACATATATATTTATATGCTGAGTTATACTTTAAACAATAGCTCATGATAATTGTAAAATGGGTTTTTATACAATTACGTAAGAGGCAATTTCAATTGAAAAAATTGTAACACGTGAAATCAACTTATATTTTGGTCCGAGATTTTCGTAAACCATTTTTAAGTTGACTATTTCACAAAGTTTACTTGAACGATTACACAATTGCAGATATGCATATGTATGAGCCTCATCGTGCCTTTGTTTATGCGAACTTCTTCCTTGGCATCATATTCCTCAGTGGAAATAGAGCTCTGCAAGAAGAAGAGCGAATTGACTCATCTTCAATACGATAACTGCATATGTACCAAGTTGCATCATAATTGCACACGTAATAAGTGTCCCATCGCATTATGATCAATTTTGTGCTCGTATTGCATCTCATCTCATCGATTGATGCGTCCATTCGATAAGGTATAATCTTCTCGTGAGACGCGTGGGGGACCAGGAGGAGAGGACGTCATCAAACGGCAAGGGTCGACACACTACGTAAAATGTGGTAAAAGAGGATAATCCATAATTTCCCAACAAAATTCAAAGTCACCCCACATTTCTCTTTGTTACAAAATTTTAAGGGTATGTAGCAGTAAGTTTAAATTTCCGAAACAGTTTTAGTAACCATACTACAACAAGAGCAAGCCGTTGGGGATGCTGTACATATTAAATATTCCTAATAAAAATGAATTTCGTTGCCACATATTTACATATGTACAGCATTCTTTCTGCACGATCTCACGAATCAGCTTGGTCTTGTCTCAAACTCGTTTTTCTGACCGGTCTGCAATTACGCTCTCATCAAATAACCATTTTCAGCCAGTGTCGTGTGTGTGTGTTGCACTCGCACCGTGTTATTACCAGATCTGTTGAGAAGATGAGATGCAATTCATGACACAAAAATAAAAAAAAAGAGGAAGAAAAAAAATAAAATTGTTACTTTAACAAATCGACGAAATGAGATGCATTTCTTTGTAAAATGGTCATTTTGTGAATGTGTTAGATCGAATTAGGTATTACTTATTTAGGGAACAAATTTTGAGAAATTCTGCATGACAGCGGATCGTGCATAAGGCATGCCATTGATTGGAGGAGGGTGTGGGAGTCAAGGCGTCCTATCATTTCCGATAAAAGAACAGCATGGGTCACCCCACAGGGGTCACAATTCCTCCAAAAACGACCATGTGCTTTGTGCATGGTCCGGCTAAGAATGGTTATGTCTACACACATGGAAGAATAAGAGAAATCTGGTTGCATATATAGGAGAACGATTAATGGCGAAAAAGGTTGATTTTTCAGTAAATATGTGCATGTAAATTGATAAATTATGAAACGGATGTGGAAATGACAAATAAAATGGGGAGAAGCAAAAATTACATAAGATTGTGTCTCCTTTTGGCCATTAATTGTCGAACGAGTGACCATTTTATTTACGAGCTTTGTTTTAATGACAAAGGTGACCAAACTCTTATTTTCAGGGTGATTACATGACATGAAAAAAATTGCAGATCTACGTTTAACTTTTATTGCAACCTGCAAATAAAAAGGTATATTTAGCAAAATTATACCAAGTTGTAGCAAAAACCTAGAACTATGGTTTAAGCAGAAGTTTTCATGAAATCAAAATAGTCAAAATTGACACCAAATAGTGTTGATACCTGCACATTTTTTTTGTAATTCGGCATAATGCAATTAGCACAAATTTACTGATTTACTGATTTACTGATTTACTATAGTTTATTCATGTGTCAAATTACGAAACTCAAAGGAAGTTAGTAAAACATCCTAAACTTAATCAGTTTTCGTAGAAATAAAAGCAATTCAGCCCTTACTTGATAATAATTAATTAATTTGCTGTAAAACTAAGGTAAAAAAGTTAAGCAGAAAAATGGTAAATACTAAAGTCATATCCTAAGTAAAAATTTGCCAAATAAGTTCAACTATTGTAATTTAGATCTTGTGGACTGTGAGCCATTAATTAAATTATTAAATTATTAGCATAATTAAATTCATTCACCATGTTTAATATTTCGCACGACATGATTTAATCTGATGTGCCGACCGACAGAGAGAGAAGCTATGTTGACATGTGGTTTGGCGTGAACCTGTCAGTAATTAAGTGACCAAAGACAGGTAGCTGTTTATTAGCAGGCTCTAGCAGTGCGAAAACTTGTACAAGCACAAAATAAAAAATAAACTAATTTTTATAACTTGGATTTCAAAGTGCGAATATTTATTTATTCGTCAATTCCTACCCATGCTGTGGCTCAACACGATTGATAAATAAATAAATATTCGCTATCTGGTGATGGTAATGCAATTTTTACATGTTTGTGAATCGATACGCAGGCCAAGTCACGATTAATTTTTTTAATAAGTATACAGAAAAATGAAAAGGTGTAACCAGCTCCTGCAAAAATTAAGATGGATGATTTCAATTAAGTAAGTTGATAATCACGCCGTTATCCTATTTTGTGCGAGGGATGGTCAAATTGGATTTTTTTTCCGCGGGGCGTGGAACGGAATTAGATTTGTATGCAATAAATAATTTAATGTAAGTCTTTTGTTTTGCAAATTTGAAAATCACGATGAGTGAATTTGTATGGATGGTGAGGTCAAGTCTTTGTTGGATCGTCTCTCAAAAAATGCAACATGTGGCAAAATTGAGTTTCGAAATAATTAATAACCGTGCATTTTTTAATTTATGCTGTTTTTGTGTATCGTCATATCCTGACCTGAAGACTATTAGGTCATTAATAAATATGTTAAAATTAATAATAAATTATTATCGACCAGAAAAAGTTACGTAATTTTTTGGCTACGATTTAAAAAATATGTTTTAGCCAGGACAAGACTGAATTCACGAATTAAATTGTGGGCCTGGGGATTGACATAAAGCATTTGATGAATTTTAATATAATTTTGACCTGTGCCCTGCCCTGTGCCGTGGGGTTAGTACTCTCGTGCTTCATTCCACACCTAACATATGACGCCTTGAACCTTACTACAATCGATCACCTGCCTTGTGCACGGTCCCCAGTCGAAATTAAATCAGATGCGGTTCGACGAATTGCTTTCTCGACAGTTTTGTTTGATAAATATTCAAACGTTTGCGAACAATTTGTAGTGAGAGAGACATTATAAAATTATAAAAATTGGTATGCTAAAATTACTACAAAATGGAGGTCGTCCTCTTGTTAAGCAAAAGTGCTAATCGTCTTCTTCCTTAATCTTGTCAATCATTTGGTCAGTGAATGAGCAATCTTTGTTTGTCGCGTCTTCCTTCCTTTTTAAAGGGCTGTGCGGACACGGGGTCAAAGTTTTGCAAATTATTTGTATTGCATTTGTACATATCTGACGTTTTCTTGTACCGCTTTGTAAACTTGGTGATCCTAAAAATGCGTGCCGTTTACAGGTAAATACGTTAAATTGTTCCATAACTGTTGGAGTAACCTAATTTTGTAATCTGAAGGTAGCATATGTTGTGGACGATCCCTTTAAAAAATTATGTGTATATTTAAGGTTACTTACTAACCATATTTGAAATAAAAATTAGAAACAAAAAATGCAGACATTAATCACCTTTATTCGACCCTCGCAATTTGTGTCACTTTTAATTCTAATTGGTATCGTTACTTTAAGTAAGCAGAGAAAGAGAGAAAATATGCTTATTCAAATTTTTGGAGGTACAAATACAGAATGCATAAACATCATTAAAAATCATATTCAAATTCTCTGCAAACTTTTAATTTGTCAGAGATGCGAGTTTATGTATTTGTTTAATTATGTAACTTTCACACCCAAATTTGTTCACTTGCCCCCCGTGCGTGCGATTCAAGGGGCTGCCATCCTGCACATGTTCATGATATACAGCCCTCTGACCCCGACCCACGGGGGTGACCAGAATTTTCCCGCAATGCATCATATTCCTCCTCTCGTAATGACACCTGTTCGACAATTTGTTGTGCATTTGTACATTTTTCTCTGTTGTGCTATGATTTTCTTGTCAAAGAGTGTTACCAGTGATTCATTTTGACGTGTGTGTGAACAAAGAAGGTCAAATGTCCCCTCAATCTAAAATATTTACAAGTCAGGTCAGACATCTTTCGTCTTCGAATCTTAAACGATGGTGAGATTTATGTATATTTTTTAAAGTTTGTAGCACAAATCATGACATAACATGAGATTCAATAATTAATAATGCAACGTTTTGTTTCGTGGGTGGGTGGTGAACAAAGTAGGATAAATTATGAAATATGTAGTTGAGACATTTACATAAGTATTTACGGAAAAGGGAGTATCGAAAATATGTCGTAGATTTTTTGATAAACGTCCAGATTTTTTAATTTGCAGATTTTGAATAAGTTTGTAAATGCAGATTTGCTATTTTTGTTTATTTATTTTCCTTTGGTATGACGCATGCAAAGTTTTTTTTATTCCAATTTTTGAATTGGTTTTACATTCATACAATTTTAAGTAAGTTAATATTGTGGCAATCCAGTAACATGTAAAATCAAAATTCTACAATTTATTTACGCTTATCTAATAGGGCACGATTCTATATTGCATGCGTATAATCTTTGGCAATACACGATTAAGCAGTTTAGAAATGGCACATTTCAAATGGCTCTGGTTTTCACTAGTCAATAAAATAAATAAAATTGGCAAAATTTAAATGCATTCGGGAGCTAGCGGCTCGTTACGTGATCCATAATAAGAAGATGCGTGAGTCGTAAAAAAAAGTTGTAAAAATGTGGAAGTCATTCAAGTAGATAGAAAAAGTAGATAATCCATTTTACAAGTTTATGGCTTAAAGCCTAGTACTCAGGACGAATGTTCACGCGGAATTTCATCGTGCTTAAATTCTGTTAAATTTTTCGCTGGAAAGAAATTCGTAAGCGGGCAGAAAATACCACTATTCCACGTATATTTCGCTCAATTTTCACTCGTAGGTACTCAGGTCGTTTGAGGTGAAAAACAGGTTTCACTTTGCCCCATTTTAAATTAGCCGCCTTGTCATTGAGTTGAAAATGAGATTTTGAGGTTGCTCCGCCCTCTTATTTTGGACTCAGAGGGGCGCGAGTCACTTTCCGCTCACATTTCACGTGAAAGAATTGCCTCGATTTAACGGAAACTTTGAGCTTACATTGAGCGTAAACTGCTCGCGCGGAAAATTCCGCACAAGTTTCACGCGAAGACCTGAGTACCACTCGGGCTTAAATTGAGCAGAATTTCTGCAAAAGTCGTTTTCCGCGCGTAAAGTCCATCGTGAGTACTAAGCTTAAGTAAGTAATCTTTATGTGAAGGTGGGTTTGCATATATTTAAGTATTTTAAGTGGTTACGATTCTACATAGAAGTAATTTTTATGTTGTCCACCAAACAAATCGAGATTCATGTATTTCTGTAGCAGTCTTTGCTTGGCTCCAAGTGTGCATAAAGCACGACGGAAATTTATCAACAATTTTGACGGATTAAAAACTACATAATTTTAAGACATTTTATATCATTCTTAGTTGAATTGTACCATTATTAATTTTTTGATAAATTTTGAGACGTGTGGTCTTGCTTCGCACTATGCACACACATAGCGAATCTATAAGTCTGGTTGTGCGGAGTGGATAAATAAATTAGAAAGTATGCAACGTCGTCACTGCAGAAATGGTGGGGATAATTCCATCCTAAAGATGACGATGTGCATGCTTTATATTCAATTTGATGGGCATTTCCTGCCCAATAAATAAGAAAAGATGGACATGAATAAAATAATGCTATTGTATATGTTTTGACTCTTGTTTATTTACTATACGCAGTCAGCCACCACATTACGGTAATTTGCATGAAATGCAAGAAATTCATTTTGTGCAAACTAAGAGTTCTTTTTGTAAGACATTATATTGTAAAATTATATTTTTTAATTGAAAAAACTTCTGAATAGGACGCAGAAAATCACTACATTTTTTAAAATTCTATTGATGAAATACATATTTTCTGTGATCAATGCAAGTAAATAATATGAGCAAGAAATTCTGAATGTACGAAAATTATAGATACATAGTTTGGTGAATTTCGTATAGATTTGGTACCATTCGCTCAAATCAAAAGTTCAGTAGGAATGGAACACTGTTTGACAAGTTTGGTGAGAGTGAGAAGGCACATCTTTGTTAAAAAGGCGATTTAATTTAATATCATGTCAAAATCTGCATACATACTTAGTTTTGGAGTAGAATGACAATTATACAGGAATGCCTGTGGTGTATGTATGAATGTCGTTTATATTTTTGGCTTGTTAACACACGCTGTTAAAACACGCACACTTTTTTACATATTTTTTATTCACTAGCACTGGTGTAACTGGCTCAAGAACCGTGCCAGTTTAAAACCTTTAAGAAAATATTATGCATTTTATAATAGCGAATTTATACTACCGACATTTGTTGTCTGATTTTCCTTAGCATATTTAACAAGTATTATTAGCTTCAGAGTTTAGTCGGTCACTCGTAAGGACGTTCATGTGATTATTTATACAGAACTGGTTCAACGTTGTGAATAAAAATTCACATAAAGCCTCAATTTTCATAAATTTAAGACCGTGGGATCCTGCTAATTTTAATCTTCATTCCATATTTCGGTTTTAACGTGTTCGCATTCGCAAATTTCATCGGGATCGTCGTGTTTGCTGATGGTTCCAAGTTAAAATGATAGACCAGCATTGCAACCCCTAGCTTGACCTCGCTCGAGGCGAACCTCATCCCTGTTTTCAGATAAAGAATGTTTAAAAAACTGCATCAAATTAGCCTAGATCGTGGAGCAACTAATTTACATATGTACCAATGCATTGTCGATTTCCAGCCCCGAACGGAATGTACGCGTATGGATTTATTGTGTGCTTGTTCTCCTCCGAAAATCTTTCTGGGTCAAATTTCAAGGGATTTGGCCAGAATCGTGGGTCCCTGTGGAGGCTAAAAACGGGGAACAAGACGCCCTGCCCTTTCCGCAGGGTGAAGTTCGTCCCAGGAATTGTGTAGGCCTTGCAACACCCACGGTCAAAAGCCGTCGTTGGTGGGTACAGGCGCAGCGTTTCTACGTATTAATAATAATAAGTACTCACAATTTACACGAAATTTTAACTATTATTTATGTATCCAGTCAATTACCGTTGATGACCATGTCCATGTATTTCAAGGCGTGGAGGCCGTCGTAGGATAGGAATTCTCCTTCATCCGTTTTAACACCTTCCTTCTTCAGACCATCTTCAATTTCCCGTCGCAATCTGTCCTGAATTTCGGGATGTGTGGCTAGCGCATAGAGAGCGAAAACTATCCCGATGTGCGTCGTGGCATGTCCCGCAAGGATGAAAAGGACACAATTCGCCACGATATGAACATCGTCCAAGAACACGACGGATTTTGAACCACCACCATTTTCCTCACCGTCCTCCTTCTTTTTGTCGAGACCTTTCCTGCCTTCGAGCATGAGTTGGACGAAGTCGTCCTGCTTCCCCCCAGGGTTGGCCTCTCGCGCCCGGATCGTTTGTGTGATGGCGTGCATGAAAAAGTGCTCCGCCTCCTTGTCGAAGAACGACATTTTGAATAAGTTCCCCACTGCGGGGAAGCACATGACCAGGAGCAGTTTGAGGACTTGCACCCCCCCAAAGGCCAGCTCCATCCTGCGCGACATTTGCTCCACCATGGAAGGCTCGTCCAGCTCGAAGCTGTTGCTCTCAATGCCGCACACGGCGGTAGAAATCACGTCGATGGTGAATTTGGGGATTACATTGGTAAAATTGATCTCCTGGCCGGAAAAAGCGGTCAGATATTTGATCATGGAGTGACCAGACTTCATGAAAAGAGGGTAGAGACGTTTCACTTTGCTAGAGGTGAAAGCTGGTGATATGGTGGTTCTGTTTTATTTATGCAAATGATTTTTCTATAAGTTTCTAAACAGAGTTCTTTGGAGCTATTAAAAAATTACCTGAAATTTCTCCAAGTTTGTCCCTTCAGAGAGAAGAGCATTTTCCCAAAGAGAATCTCCTCCTTGGGCATTTCAAACTCACGCCTGGGTAAAAACAAGATATACAAGTTAACCTAGATTTCCATGTATTTCCATGCTTTCCAACATGTTCCATTATTATTCTCGGGATTAATTAGTAAGAGGGTTTTAGGCCCCGAATTATTAGCTCCTCACCGGTCGATAAAGTGGTCAAAGTCTTTAATCGTGATGTGCTTGATTAGCTCGGGGTCGTTGATGTTAATAACATTTGTACCGAATTCTTTGGATCCGGCGATTTTCTGGCCTTTTGTGACCATTTGGGTGTACCATCGTTCCTGCGTGGCCTCGATGGTGATGCCCATGAGGGTTTCGTAGAGGAGGCTGTAGTTCCTGTTCCCGAGGTAGAGGAGGTCCTGATTCTCAAAGTGGGCTCGGTCCTTGAGAGCGTTCCGACGGAGCATGACGCAGACGAGGAGGAAGAAGGTGACGAAAAAGACGAGGACGACCAGCATCGTGTCTTTTCACTTTTCAAATTGGATTTGAAATCTCGATATTCCAAAAACTGACTGTTGTGACAGAGTATGGATGTGTTGTAAAATTTCTGTAATTTAAGAAATAAATACGAGTACAACTTATTCGGTGAGACGCAAAAGATGGACGAATTTCCCAAAAATGACTAAACTTTTATGGACATGCAGGAAAATATGTACTTGTTTTACAACTGGAGATGTAATAAAGTCCATTTTCCTCACCCACACGATGCAAAAGCTGTTTTAGTGAAAAAAAGTGTAAATTTGCATGTAAATCTACTTGAAGACGAAACAAGTATTTTGCGGTAGATATTAACCAATTGTGTAAGTATGTGCGTAGGCATACGAAACTCCGTGCATGAGAAGAATGAGATTATGCTGAATATATAAATAGGAAAGAGGAATGACAACCTTTTTTTATTATTTAAAATCCTTTTAGACCCCTTCGGTCGGAATTCCAGAGTAGATGATAAGAGGAGACATGTGCTTCCATGCACTAGAATGGTGTATGTACATGTACAATTTACATACGCATACCTACTAAAAAAGCATGCAAGTTGTATGTAGTGCCGATAACTTGTAATTGCTCAATTTAAAATAGCTCATATTCTCTCCTAATTTGAAATTCCAATATATGTACTTATTCAGGCTATTAGTTGATTTTACTCGAGATCTTGGAGAAGTACAAAATGCACTACGGAGTTCTACATATCATTAGACCGCTCTTTTATAAGTGTCATAATATGAATTAAAAGCAGGATAGGTTGGTACCTATCTTGTCGGAATAACCAAAAAATATTGCCCAGACTATTTATTTGCAAAATTTGAAATACGATGAATATAATAATTTTCTACGATATGCAAATTTTCTACTGCAAATCCCTTTTTATTATAGGTACGTATTTAAATATGCAAATATAAATATGTATGTGTATGTGTATGTTGCAAGATGAACTCCCTATTTGCATATTTCTGATTCGAAAAGTGTGAAATTAAATGGTAAAAAGAGTAAAAACTTGCTAAATCACCCAGAATTGTGCTTCTCTCCAAGCGTCTTCACCAAATTGACTCTGGTTCAAAACCATGACCATGCACCACTGATAACTATGCATACATCATAACAGATTTCTATAAACTTGACATTTGACTTGTGTCTTATCGCATCTTATCGCATTATGATCACACATATGTAAATATGTATCGCAGCTATATTTATTTATTATGGGCCTATTTGTTTATCTATTTAGGCCAGCCATCAATGAGTTTCCAGTACTCGTGTAGTGTTCATTGCCTGATTAGGTTCTAATACACATAAATCAATGTCAGAGATTGAATGCAGACGCACATTTCGGTTCTGAGAAGTTGTAAATGCCTGGCTCAAGTTGGAAATTACATAATGGCCGTGAATTAATTGACAGACACGAGAAATCAGTGGTGGTGCTGATGCCATGCAGGGGCTAAGGAACCAAGCCCTAAAGAAATAGGGATTTTTCTACCTTTTTTGCAACGCTATTGCACCCAAAATGTCCCCACGGTCCGCAGTTCATGGATGATATGTAAATAGAATGGACTTTTCTTTTAGCCGAGGTTGACATTGACACTTGACACATGAATAATTTGCACTTGTATCGCTAATTTCGCTCAATGATAATAAACAGTATAACTTATGCCATGCATGATAAATACATATTTAGTGCAAATATTATAAATATTATCCATGCACGAATGACAGTTATTTAATTCTAGTAAATAAAGTCCATCGTGTTCTTGTTAAAATCAGGTTACAAAACTCTAGTACACACTCTGGTGACTGGGCGGCGGAATGGACCACGACACGAAGAGCATGTAATGAATAATGGGATTTTTGTGGTGGCATATAGATAATTTACGCACACAATGGTTGCACATGGATAAGTGAAAACTTATAATTTATTTTTTGATAAGGTCGACCGACTAGAAAACAATAGTGAGGGACAATTGATTCTTTAAAAAATGAACTGCAAATAATATTACATGTCGCGAAAACGGAAATGTTAGTTAATTATTTTAACCTATTTTTGCCAGTGCAATCATGCTAAGAAAATTATAAGGAACTAAATGAAACAGTACTTAATAAAGGTGTAATAAATATAAGGAGTAAAGTACATAATATTCATATTTGCTGTAAGTTTTTGGAAATATTAATTAATTTTTGCGACTAATGTGGGAGTTTTAGTTAATGTAACTTCAGCTGAGGGAGGGCGACGTGCCGCAGCTTATCGCCGATAAAGAGCAGCCCCGCTCTCGTCCAACCGTAGAGGACGGCCTGCAAAATGTTTTCCATGATTAGTTAATGCCCCTTAAACTGAGACGATTAGACGTAATTTCACCTGGTGCATGCGGTAGAGGGAGGAGTAGAGGAGCTTGGCCCCCCTGCCTTGCACGTAATAGTCCCGCTGCGGCCCCACGATGGCCGCCAAACTCCCCACCGCCTTCCCCTCACCCAGAGACACCAACATGCCCTGAAAAACAATCATTTCCACATGTATTTTCATGGATTTGTTACAAATTGATTACCTCCATGTAAATTAAATGTACATAATTTGACGGGGAATAACTTTTCTCGTAAAAATCAAATCATCTAAACCAAAAATTTTCATAAATTTTACGTGGTTTGTATAATTAATTTTGAAAAGAGAAGGGTGCTACAGAACCCAATGTGATATTTGAAAGAAGTGGATATCATCCTCATTTAAGTACCTGGGGTTTGAAGGTGAAGGGGGGACAAGTTTTCGAAGTGAGGCGAGCCTCCAACTTGGACGCAAGCCACTCTGCTTGCTGATGAGCGACCTGTGCAGTGGCAGGAAGGAACAACGGCGTCATCACTGGGGGAGGACCCTTACTGTTCTTGGGCTTTTCGCCAACCTGGAATTTATTAAACCGGAAGTCGCGACATTTTTACGGGGTCAACACCACGCCAAAACTTGGTTAATCTAGAGATATTTAAATGCCACCTTTTGAAATGGAACTGCGGCACAGTCTCCCAGCGCGAATACAGCGCCCGAATTTCCCACTGCTAATTCGCCATCAGTCAGAATCTGGTTGAATTTGTTGGTTTTGAGGCCAAGTGTGCTCAGCCAGTCGGGCGCTTTAATGCCAGCTGTCCAAATTCTGATGTCCTTTTCAAGGAGGGTGCCATCCTGGAGTAGGAATCCGGTGGGTGTGACCGCCTTGATGAAACAGCTCGTTCGCACGTCAATTCTCCGCTGATGTGAATGTTAAAAGGATATTAGATAAGTACGAATTTTGCGTAAGGTTTTAGAAAATTTATGAGCTAAAGGTGAGCAAGAGTAAACTAAAGAGTACGTATGTACTTCCACCAATTTTGGGAAAAAATTACCAAATTGTCAAACAAAATGGACAGATTTTGAAATACATCGTAGAGATTTCATAAAGGATGTTGGATCGATTATGCCAAAATGTTTGACATAAATTGGGAATACAAATTTGCAGGAAGTTTGCAATTGTTTGCAACTTGCACGAAAACTCTTCGAATTTGACAATTGACAATCATAATGTGGTATTAAAAACATGTATACGACTTGTACTCATTTCGGGACAAATTACACAAATTTCTAACACTTTACGTTAGGAATATGTGGTCACCTTTTTGAGTTCCTTTGTAGCGAAAGTTGAGAGGGAAGGGTCACCGCCGCCGAGGATGCGCGGTCCTCCCTCCATGATTGTGATTTGCAACTGTTCCTCGAACAAATTGGCCCCGTACGAACGCAATGTGCAAATTGTGTGGTGGATCTCAGCCGCGAGCTCAACCCTAAATTAATTGTTATCGTTAGTTTAAATTTTCGATAAAGAACATAGTGAGATGTTTGCTAGCCGGATGTTTGTTAAGCGCGTAGGCTTTCTAACATTATTTTGTTTACAAGGTCTGATAAAAATTAAGAGGCTTGTGTCCAATGGTGTCCAATGATCGGTCTATGATCTAGATGTTTACAGCAGGACTGAGTAACCTGATTCTTTTCGTAAGCTTTATAAATTTGTGGATCCGGTATAAATGTTGTGTTTTATGGGTTACAAATACCCGAATGGATAAAGTTAGCAATGTCAGCATATTGAGTACAATTTAATATGTACATACCCAGTAGCGCCACCACCAACGATACCGATCCGAAGTTTGGGTTGGGGGGAGGTTCCCATTGAGACGGACAGGGCTTGACCTACACAAGAGGGAACAAATAATGCGTTTATGCATGCATGGCAAATTGTTTGACCAACTTACTGAGGATTCGTTTCCTTAAAAATTCTGCATCTTTTGGAGCATCGAGTTTGACGCAATGTTCGTCTACACCGGGGGTTCCAAAGGAATTTGACACTCCCCCAACAGCCAGGACGAGCGTGTCGTAGGGGACCTCGCGTGGAGGCGCGATGACCCGTGACCCCTTCCCATCAAAGTCATCGACCGAAATGGGAGCGAGTTTAATTACCTTTTTCGCCACATCGAGACCGTTCATCCAGCCGAATTGAAACTCGTACCCGGTGGCATGGCCATGACTGAAGTAATTTAGCTCATCCTCGCCTATAAATTATAGGCTATAATTAAACGATAATTTCACACGTCCACAAAATCATACAATGAAGGAAAATCAGACTACAAATTTATTGCAAAAATTTCGACTAATAATGGACATTTGTGTATTGTGTCGTTTGACAAACATTTTAAGATACCGTTATTAGCAATATTTGCATGTCTTAAAACCTACGGCCTAAGGTGCAATTCCATCCTCATCAAGTCAAAATCGGTTCGAAATCATTTCATTGGCGTGTGTCGTGTACATTTAGCATCATTTCCCGAGCTAAATATCTCTTCCTTGTGGGGCTTGCAATTGCAATGCAACCAAGATTATTCAAAAGTTGACCTCTGACCTGTGTTTAGCGAGCCGGTGGCAACCTCGTGAAGCAGTGGTTTCCAAATGTGGGTGGGGCTGCCGTCGACGAGGGTAGGGAGGGCGAGGCGCTTTAGGCCAAGACGTTTCCCAAGATGCGTAGCCAACTCCAGGCCCCCAGCACCACCCCCCACGACAACAATCTTATGCAGGGTTGATTGCATTTTTGCAACGAATTTGGCAATGTTCTTACAGAGTATTTTATGAAAAATACGCGAGAGAATTTAATTGTCCTTTACGTGAACAACAAGAGGAGAGGATGATGAAATTTTAATCAATGTCGTGTTTGTAATTGTGGTGAAGTGAAGAGACACAAACTTAAATGTGTTTATATTTTTAGTGATTAAACTGCATGACTTTTGGTTAATTAATTAAGGTTGAGCGAACGATTTAGATTTTCAGAATTAAAATCAGTTTGTGACTCACAACTTGTGGGAACTCTTGCATCACTTTTTCTTAGGGTTTTTGATTCAATCCAATTTTGCCAGTGCATAAAAATACATGTAAAATGTTGGCGACTTTATTATGTTTTTATGTTTTTTTGAAGTGACATTTGCTTGTGTCACCGTCACGCTCACAAGTCACAGGACAGATTACTTCCGGTTTTGAGTTCGCTGGAGAAGAATTTAAGCAAGAGTCACATGATACGTTTTAACCAAACCGGTATTTTGTTTCTTTATGCATGAAATTCATGCCATGAATCTCACAAGTTTACAAAATGTCGTACACAAAAAAGACCTGACTTGATACGCGAATTTATTTTTGCATATCATTTATCATTTAACTATTGAGTAAATAAATACAGATTATTTGCATTTACTTTAATTAATTATAAAATAAAGTAGTTTGTGACAGAATGTACAAATTTGTATCAAAATTATTATTGCAGGACAGAATTTTAAGCGTATTAAAAATTGTATTGTAGTTGAGAAATTTCATAAATATAAAATTTTATGGAAAAATCTTTATTGTCAAAATACACACGTCTTTCTTCTCTGATTTTGTCTTCGTATAAGTAAAGATGGATTATGTACGAAAATCAGGTAATAAATCAATAGTAAACTTATGCAGATCTAAGACGTCTCTTGTTTGGCAAACGTTTCTAAAATAATTTTAGAAGGCATGCAGAATTTATAGAGTTGCAAACTTGTGAGCCAAGTCTACATAATTCACATTGGGCATACAAAAGGTATAAAAATCATGGAAGGATTTAAGAAATTAACTTTGGAACCTAACTTAACTAAGTTTAGACCACTTCAGAAAATAAATTAATCAACTTCTGGAATAACTTCTGGAATGACTTGGATTGCAGCGTCTCGAGAAAGAGGGCACGGCGTGGGTGTGGAAAGGGCGATCTCTTTTTTCTCCAATTTGGCGATACGGGTCCTCAATTCTTTGCAGCGTTGATCAGAATATGCTAATTCTTTTTGGTCCCTAAAAAGAAGAAACGAAGTTGGATTCGAAGTTTAAATTAAATTTTTCCTGCATCATTTTTGAAATTCGTAATAATTTTGATATAATTTCGAAGTTGAGTAAAATTTTAGAAAAATTGAAAAAAGATCCTCCTCGCCACTTACATATTTCTCGTATCATTAATAAGCGGTGTCACGGTGGCGAGGATTCGTTCCCTCGTTTCCGCCTCCACCGTTTTTATCTTCTGCGTAAGCTCGGCGATCGTGGCGTCGCGTTGGAAAATTTGGGTCTGAAAGTACGCAACCGATGCGGCAAGTTCTTCCCTCAAGGAGGCGTTCTCTCTCCGCAGCGCGTCCGCCTCCTCGGCAGCCCGCAATTTCTCATTTTGTGCGTTTTTGACAACCTCCATGACCTTGATGGGCTTCGCTTTAGGTACTTTAAAATCATTAAACGTCGTTGTGTCTGGTTTCCGAGCGGCCAAGGTTGACTTTGAGGTGACGGCGTGGCGTGGATTTAGATTATTTGTGGGTTTATTAATTTGTACGTTAACCATGGATGCAGTGGTGGTAATGATTCGATTTTGCTGATTCAATACTCCCACTGGTGGTGGCATTATCCTCGTGGGCACCACGGTCTCTGGGGGAGGATTGTTTTCGTCACTCTCATCGTCCTCGGTTTGCTCTTCGGGGACGTCTTCGAGTTCGAGGGAACGGTGAAGGAAAGAATTTGAGAAGATGCTCTTGGTGGAGTCGTGGAGCAGAGAGGCGTGTTGGGAGGCGGGAGGTGGGCGAGGCCGGAAGGTGACAACCTAGATAGAACAAGGAATATTTATTTTATTTTGAAAAACGAAATGAAAAATTGGGAACTACGATAATAAAATTTTGGTAGATATTTCAAAAATAAAACAGACATGGCTTGCAATAGCTGAATTCATGAGAGTCTGCATCGAGGAGTCGGCCATTTTTGGGGACGGATTGACATTGACGATCATCGTGATGTGCGCCGAGTTGGAAAAATAACCTTGAAAAATTCGAGTCAATTTGGAATCACGGAAGGGAATCTTGTCCTTGAAGTCGCGCATTTGTCCTTGTGATTGCTTATCCCTGTAATTTAGAAAAATTGTTGTCAACTTGGAAGAGAGCGATAGGAAGTTTCTTTTTAGTAAATTTTAAAGTGTTTTTGATTTTACCTAATCATTCGAATGACCTTGAGCAGGGAGGAGAGAGATTGATTAATATTGGCAGATTCACGCAACTGGCCACCTGTATTTTCCGTTTGGTTGACCCGTTCGCACCCCGCAAGGTCGCAGAAGGTCATCCTGAACAAGTAGAATTAGATAAGGTGGGAGGACTGGATGATAACGTGTTATATTACCTTTGAGCAGTAACTGGAAACACTGTCTGGGACGTTTTCCCTAGCTCGACGACACGAATAGTGAAGAAGGAGTGTGACCGCGAGGACGTTTGATTAACTTGCGTTGCAGATATTTCAAGTTTTTTATGTCCTGCAACATATAAGGCGAAGGCCTCCTCCTCCGAGAAAACCGGAAGTTCGGTAAGGTCTGGAAAAGATAAGATACGCGATGATTATCTTTACCTTACAAATGTGTACATACACTCCGCGACAAAAGGTTAAAGGCACCCTGCGTCATGATCATATCCCTTGACCCCATGAACCACGGTCGACGAATTATATTTAATTTAATAGCTAACTAATGTAAACAATTAAATAATACTTAAAATCTACCAATTTAATTCGTACAAGGGGAAAATGAGACAAATTTCAAAAATCGGAAAATTCATGCGCGTCAAAAGGTTAAAGGCACTTCGTAAAAAGCACCCAAATTACATTTTAAAAAATAATTTAGTAATGATCCATTCCAATATGACTAGAGATAACTTCAAACGCCTATTTGGAAAAGATTTAAACCGCTTGGTTATCTCAGATTGAGCTATTTTTCGCTATACCTTGCCAATAGCTTACTTTTGGTCATTTACGGTGTTAAACTGCTTACTATTTCTATGTTAATGTTCCCTGGGGATTCTCTGGGATGCATAGGTAAGGTGACTTTACAGGGTAATCCAAAATCCTTATCTTTGTCGCAGAAAACAAATTTTTCCTTGGCTCGACGTGTGGATGCTAGCGTTTTCTTGTTCAAAAATCCACACTGGATCACCCAAATGCTGTCCTTCATCAAAATATGTGTTTTCCTACATTTCTTATAAGTGTACAGATTAATTTCTGTGATGTAGAAAATTGTGTCATTTTTTCTCGCATCCAATAGCCACCTATACCACAATGCTGCCTAATCGCATTTGACGTTTTGAGAGCATGACTTCCTGTTTGCGAAGATCATGCCAGTAGCTGGGTAACGCATATGGACCATGTCAATTGAACTTATTTGTATCACTAAAAATTACTTTTATCTAATTCTTGTACAAGAACATGAATTCCTTAGGGATTTTCGGTTTTGCAAATTTGTGACGTTTCATTAATTACGCATGTCGCCGATTTGCTTGTCTGCTAAGTACGAGTAACTTTCCAAAACACGTTTAGCGGTTCGTAGATGTCTAGTGAGAACTGCAGTAGTCGAAATGTCCCTCGCAAAAAATAGTTTGGTGATCCAGTGTGAATTTTTGAACAAGAAAACGCTAGCATCCACACATCGAGCCAAGGAAAGATTTGTTTTCTGCGACAAAGACAAGGATTTTGGATTACACTGTAAAGTCACCTTACCTATGCATCCCAGAGAATCTCCAGGGAACATTAACATAGAAATAGTAAGCAGTTTAACACCGTAAATGACCAAAAGTAAGCTATTGGCAAGGTATAGCGAAAAATAGCTCAATCTGAGATAACCAAGCGGTTTAAATCTTTTCCAAATAGGCGTTTGAAGTTATCTCTAGTCATATTGGAATGGATCATTACTAAATTATTTTTTAAAATGTAATTTGGGTGCTTTTTACGAAGTGCCTTTAACCTTTTGACGCGCATGAATTTTCCGATTTTTGAAATTTGTCTCATTTTCCCCTTGTACGAATTAAATTGGTAGATTTTAAGTATTATTCAATTGTTTACGTTAGTTAGCTATTAAATAAAAAATAATTTGTCGACCGTGGTTCATGGGTTCAAGGGATATGATCATGACGCAGGGTGCCTTTAACCTTTTGTCGCGGAGTGTAGTGTTAAGCACCGTAAGAATATTAGACTTATTGTGGATTAGTATTTACCACGTTTTACATATGTAGATTATAAATATCTTACCTTTAAAGTATGCATAACCTCCCTTTTCCGATACGATTTTAACCTCGGTTCTCCTCCCGTGGGAAAACAGATCATAGCACTTTTCATTATACAATTCAACAAAGGAAACCCACATCCCGAACACGGTCCCCTCAACCATTGATTCGTTAACGTTTGGCGTGGGAGCTGTAATACGAGACAAAGATCAATTTAAAAAAGTACAGATACCCTTAATTAAAATTAAGTTATCTTGGCTTAACTTACCACCAACATACTGGACAGGCGAACAGTGCGAGGAACCATCCGATGTGCGAATGTTATGAGCTTTGGACTGATTAAGTTGCGACGACGCGGCGAGGGTGGAATAGCGTACGGCACGGTGCTTCATTTCTACAGTGTCATTCTGTAATAAATATAAAATAATGTGTGAATTTTTACGGATCGATGGCAATTATTTCAAATATGTAAGAGGATTGATAAGGTCGTACCGCCGATTCTATGAGAGATTTCTTCTTGTCGCTGATTTCTTTTTTCTGTCCGTCCTGCAATGAGCGGGTACTCTCATGTCGAAACGGTTGAACTTCACCACCTTGGTAGATACGGTCTTGATATCGGGCGAATATAGAGTACAGGGTGCGTGGAATTATACCGTATTTGGTTGCAGAGCCTGGGAATTACATAAGATAATTACGGGTTATCGTATCTTATGGATCTTATCTTTGGATTTAAGAATCTAAACTATATAAAGCAGGCGAGTGTATCGCTGCTGGGTCGGTGGCTTTTTTGAGAAGTTAGCCTCTCCTTTCCTCTCTCCACTCTGCAGAGAGAACAGGAGAGGCTAACTTCACTAATGTTGGGGTAACGGGCTTATCGACGGGCCTATTTTGCACGTCAATTGACGGGCTTCTACACTAGTTTTCATAATATGCAAGACATACCGCGCATGGTGTATGTTTTCCCAGAATTTGTCGCCCCATATGACAAAATGAGGCAGTTTTCGCCAGCGTCGAATCTGTCTAGAAGTGGTGACACGGCCTCTTCGTAGACGCGTTCTTGCGTGTACGTGTCGTCCATGACCTTTGTGAAGTTAAAGGACATTTTCTTATTGATGCGTTTGACTCGGATTCCTGCTGCGTCGCAGGAAGCAATCACCGTCCGGTCATCTTTAATCTGAAGGAGCTGAACGGAAAAAAATAATAACTTACAAAATATCTCTCAAGTAATATTATTTATTAACCATTCAAGTACTTACGTCCACTTCATTCGGATTGCTTTTCATGTATGGGCGGATGCGAAGATAGGTCTTGATCTGTTCGCCAGCATCGTCGTCATCATCGTCGTCAGCGTGATGAAAAGGTCGCCCGTTATGTTGATTATTATTATTGTTATTGCATCGTTGACGCGACTCTTCGGCCGCGGCAATATCGAAATCTGACTCCAATTTCCGGATAACTGCCTCGTTGAAGGTCTCGGAGAGGGGGACTGGCAAACCGATGTCCAGGTAGGAGGGGCGTTGCTGCTTTTGAGCGACGGGAGAAGAGATCACCTCCTCAGGGTCAATGTTGGTGTCAGGCTCCATGTTCATGACGGAGCACTTATCTGTGAACTTGTATAAAACTTAAGTTACTTCTCGAGAGAACTCATAATTTATTTTGGTGAACTCGACTAGGAGACTTGTTCTAACAATAAGTATTATCAAAAAACTTGTGCTCACAAGGGGAAGAAGGTTTTGATAAGATTATATTAATTTATTGATGACTACCCTTAAAAAAGTTAATTATTATTGTCTACTTAATTTAAGTGGGAAAAAGCCGACTAAAACTAAATGCACATTTTTTACCCGACAACAGCCGCTACGAGAACCGCCACCACCACCGACTGAGACAAAGGCAAGGTGAAAAAAAATGAGAATTTCTCTAGAATTAGATTAGTATACAATGGAATTTCTGGATGAATCTTTTTTGGAAAACAATAAGTCGAAACTTTTAAAAACTGAGAATTTTTGTTTTATTAAAGAAGAAACTAGTAATTTTTCATATCATATTATATACAATTTGCCATCATAAAAGAGCCAGGAACACCAGTGGTTAATACATTAGTAACATATTAGAATGCAGATCTAATGTAATATGTATGTACAATATGTAGGTAATAAGACGATAAGTGATGGATAACACGCATATATATCACCTTTCTAAATTTAATTCAGAGTAATAGTGTGGAACGGTAATAGCAATTTTGAAAATTTTGATTTCTTACAATTAAACTTAAAGAAAAATAGATTATTTTCACTATCGGGACACAAGACAATTGCACACAATTAAAAACCATGATGAACTTAAACGAACCCATTACAACTTTAAATTTAAATTCGTTAAACATATTTTTGGATACATTAGAATTTGGATAAGCATCCGCACTAAAATTAATACTGAGCATCGTTGAGATATTGATATTTAGGGTAATAATAAAAACATGACACGAATTTCCATGCATCATTAACCTCAGTGTCATCATAATCGTATCATCTTACACTCACTCTTACATTTGATTTCTTATCGATTAGTTACATAGTTGTCTGAAGCCATTTAACTCATTATTTCGGCCAATGAACGTCGGTCAACTCTTCGCATACCTCCCACAACTTTTCTGCCACCTCGGCGTCCTTTCCCAACTCTGGGATGGGCACTTGGGTGACATCGCCTTTCATCTCGAACCACCCATTTGGCCCGTAGTACCCGTTTTTCTCGGCATCTGGCGAAACGGCGGCGTAAATTTGTGGCAGGGCGCCCCTTTCCCCTGAATGCGCTAGGAAATAGCTTAAGAAATTGATCAGTCTCCCAACCCAGGTGTCGTTCCCTGGCCCGTTCGCGATGAGGTCAGTTTTCGCCACGCCGGGATGCGCCGATATGGCGGTGACTCCCCATGACCCAAGGTCACTGCGCCGCTGGAGTTCCAACGTGAAGAGCAGGTTGATCAGTTTCGAGACCTTGTATGCTAACCAAGGGTCGTAGGACTCGGTCCAGTTCAGGTTGTCGAAATTTAAGGGTTTTGCCGACTTCGCCGCGATGCTGGAAACGTTGACGACGCGGGGAGAGGTGGAGCGGCGAAGGGAGGGCAGCAGGAGCCCTGTGAGAGCGAAATGGGACAAATTGTTGGTGCCAAATTGGATTTCGAAGTGGTCCGAGGTTTCCAGTCGAGTGGGGGGCCCCATCACTCCGGCATTGTTGACGAGGATGTCTACAAAAATCGGGAGGATTATTATTCCTTTTGCAATGTAATGACGCATGCGTACTTGCGTGGTGAAGAAATGTATAAAAATATTGCATATGGATAAATTATTTCTAGCAAATGCTTCAAAATTTCAGTATTAACATTATTCTAAAAAATCCTCCTCACCCAATGGCTGCTGTTTTGCGTTGTACTCGGTTGCAAACTTCTTAACGCTGGCGAGACTTGCCTGGTCGATCATGGCGAAGGAGACGTTGGCATTTGGCGATACGGTCTTGATCTTTTCGACCGCGTTTTTTCCCTTTGTCTCGTCCCTTCCTCCGACCAAGACGGTGGCCCCAGCCGTGGCGAAAGCGAGCGCAGTTTCAAACCCGAGTCCTCCCGTGGCGCCGGTGACAAGGGCGATTTTTCCCGTCAGCGAGGGAATATCCTTGGTCGAAAAGTGCTCAGGTCTGCGCCTACTCGATGATGCCATTTTCGGCAAATTGTTTAACTAGAATTTGCAAAAAAAACTATAATTTGGCAAGTGCTATGTTCTATTAGTATGAATTGGTATTCAAATCAATCGATAAATAATGATGAAGAAATTTTGCATAGTCGGGAGATTTAAATAAACTCGTAAGTTGCAATTAACTTTTTGCATTCTCTTTTCTCTTGCATGCAAAATAGTGCTCGTACCCTGAATGAAATTTAACTCACTTTTTTAACCAAATTTTCCTCTTCTCGATTTAATAGCAGTCTTCATTTCGTTACGAGTGAAATAATACTAACTTTTATTATTAATAAAATAGCGTCATTTTAATGCTAAACCCTCCATAAACCAAACTCCTGACGGAAAATGAATTCCTTCAATTCAATGACAAATCCATCCATAATAAAAAATAAATTAAGAATAGATCACGGGCGCCTCTTTGTTTGACAAAGCTATTTCATTAAGCTTACAAGATTGATTGACTGGTGAATTACAGAGGGCTTGGTTTGACTTTACCCTTAAATTTCCCAAGAATCCCAATTGAAGCGAGAGCTTTGAGCTTAAATATTTGCAAATTGGTTGTTGGGGACTGGGTGTAAAGTATTGCACAGACTGACTATATAACTGACTGACCACTATTCACACGATAAGAAATGTAGCTTTGTTAGATATATAACTGATCGTGTGACCACTATTGAATATTTATTGCCTGGAAGACAGTCTATCTCGAACTGACTGTGGTCACAAATTTCTACAACTGACCACAGACCACATTTGTACATCTACCTGATGAGGACGATGTCGATAAGAAGGTGACCATGACTGGCACAAAACTGGTTGAATGGTACGTGTTCTAGACTTTGGCCATGATAATAAGCACATTTAATTGTTAGTGCACGCTATATAAATAGGTTAGTGGTTATGTAATAAATAATACCTACCAATATGTTTATGTACCTACTGTACATTTCTCCAGCAAATTCATGCTGCACTGTTGACTATTTAGTTTTGCAGGTAGGTTTTGTTTTTTGCATGCAGATTTAGCAGCAAGTAGATATGCATTTTTTCAGGTAGATCGGAGGAGGCAATAACGTGATTTGATTGTAGGAGATTCATGTTTTGAATGTTCAAAAAGGCTGATCTGATAGGAGCGCAGTAGGATATTCTTATCAGTTTGTATCTACATATTTATATGTAGCACAAGAAGTTTAGTTTGTGTTAGTTTATGCATAGAATTTTTATGCTAAACTTTGTTAAATAATAACAATTTTAAGGGAAACTGAGGATAACTGAGGATAAGACCCAAGTTTACATACGTGCAGACTTACAGATTTTACAGAAGCTTCAAATAACGACAATAACTTGAGTTTGTATGGAATCTATTTTGGATGTGATATTAAGTAAAACATTATTTTTAAACAGACTTGGATTTTCGTAGTTAATTTGAAAGAGAAAAGTTATAATAAATATATTATTGAATGAACTATAATGAATGGTTGCCTATATTTTTATGGGAGAGCACTGCATTAAATGAAATTAATAATCATTAGTTAAATTAATCTGTCAATTCACCTCTAAATCAATAATAATGTAAAACGGTTTATAAAGTACTTGTTTTTTATTATGGTTTTGATTTTATTACTCTTTACAAAAATCTCTCATCTATAAAATTATCGCCATTTAGATATGTCTAAGTCAAATTTTTCCTCATTTTTTAAAACGAGTCGCTATATGTAGGTTAATAAAAAACATGTGTCACAGATAATCAACTTCATTTACATAAATAATTACTAGACTATTTATTTTTAAAATGGTAATGAAATATTAAATCTTCTCATTCTTCTCCTCCGTTAATGTTTTCATGCACTTGGTAAACTCGGCAAATCTCTTTCCGACATATCTGAAATTGCAAGAGGGCAGAATTATAGAACTTAATTGAAATCAACAGGGAAAGTTTTATTTCACAAAAAAAAATTCGCAAATTGGACTTACTGCACATAGTCGAACTGAATGGTGGAATGTCTGGCTTGATGGATGGCCCACAAGCCCCAGAAGAGGTGTGAGGCAGGGGTGCAGAGGTCAACCCAGTGGTTGAACTCCTCCTCCGTGATGACCTTGCCCCCCTCCCAGTCAAGGCGCAGGTTCGCCAAGTACTCGGAAATCCAACGGAGACGAAACTCTTTCCCAGGACATTTCGAATAGTTGAGCTCTGGAACGCCTGCAAGAGAAATTAATTTCTTAAGTGCTAGGTGCACACACGCAATTTGCAAAAATAATGTGCAATCTGCCAGTCTAAACCTAAACCGGAAATTATTTTCCATTCGGTTATAAGCCAAAACTACGTAAACTTTGTAGTTCTTGTAAGAATTGTAAATTTGCAGAGTTTATGCAACTATTCTTCAATAGTTGCATAAACTCGAAGGAAAGGAATGCAACCGAAAATAAGTATTAAATTGCTTAGTACCTGCGAATTCGAGGAAGTGATTCGCCACGTCAAAGGCGGGATAGTTTGGCATGGCATACTCGACCTGTTTTTATATGCATCTTACTATCAATACAATTGTCATTTTAAGGCCAGTCATCAGTCCTATCAATAAATAATATTTGTACTCACATCGATGAAGGTCACGCGCTTCTTTTTGTCGTTGTAGACGATGTTGCGCGGAATTAAATCGTTGTGACAAAACGTGACCGGCATTCGCGCAGGCGTGAGAAGGTCGTGCAGCGCGGATATGGCTCCAGACGCCCAGCCCGGCGTCACCCCGACTGCTGAAAGACGTTCCCGAAGAGAGGCGTCGTTCTGCAACAGAGTAAACGAAATTACAATTTGTATGACGACAACAAAAATTTTTAAATATCCACTGCAAGATATGGATAAAGTACCAATTATTGTGGAAAAATTTGCGAAAATGCAACCAATTCTGACGAATGTAAAATGTAAAAAAAGTAACTGTAAAGCTGTTACAAAATTGAAATAAAAAGACTTCCTATTTAAACTTGCGTTAAGATTTTTGGTTTAAATTCGCTTGATTTTGTTATAATTTTTGTGCAAAAATATTTTTTGTTTTAGCCGTTTATATTTTTCACGAATATTATCGAACTTGTGGAAATCATTGTATAGGCTTTTGCCATAAAAATTATGCCACCCAACCTGCATAGATTCCTCTGCCAGTTTATTGAATTGTCTCATTTTCTTCCAAAGTGGACTCGTCGTCATTCCGGAAGTCGTCGTCGTCGTTCCGTTCTTCTTGTTCTTATCCTGGGACAAGATGTTCTCGTTGAGGACGGTCTTGTTCTTATTCTTGTTTTGTAGGGAGGAGTGCATCCGCGCCATTTCCGCGGCGACGAGGGGGAACACTTCCGGTTTAGCGCAGTCTTCCACCTCCAGCGTCGACCCGTTCATGAACTCGTAGCAGATCCCGTTGTCGAATGTGGCGTACAATTCTGCGCCGCACTTGCGGTCGTGCAGAATCTGAAAATTTCCTGAATTCTATCAAGTCAATTTTTGGCAAGGTTGGAAATAAGGCTAGCAAGACAACTTTGTAAAGTGTGTAAATTTTAGTCAGCAGTTTTGCAAATTAATGGAAATTGAATTAAGATAGAGGGTCTTAGGACGATAGTGTCTAAGAAACCTCAATGGAAAGAAGGGAATTTAGTAAAGTTCGTGATGCGAATGTGCGTCAGATTTTTCGAAAAGACTGCAATGACTGCATGGCAAAAGACTCCAAGGCAAGATTACAGAGTTTCATCAGATCTAGATTTTGAGGATCTATGTATTGAGTAAGCTGACTCGGTGGTCAAGGTTGGATTAAATATGGCTGTAAATATACCTATAGTATTACTTACCATCATGGTTTCGATTTCGGCCTTCCTGTCGATCAGCGAGCCCGTGTGGGATCCGAAGACTTTAATAATCACCATATCTTCCGGATTGGAAGGTACGAAGAACCCCCAGATAATGTTGGATAAGCCGTCGGTGAATACCTGAGTTATGATAAGCACACGATAAATACATTAACACAAGATCACAGATCACATCATTCTGCCACTTTTCAAGTACCAAATTTATTACACAAAATTAAACTGCGTGCATAGGTGCATGCACTTCTTATGAAATTAGGATTTGCGAGTAATTGCGAAATGTTTTTAGCAAATACTTACGGGTATTTATTTACGTATGCATTATACAAGATTTGTACATTTGGTGTTTGGCATTTTTGTCTAAACTTAAAACCAAATTTTTGGCTCAGATCAGATTTCAGAGTGTTGTATAATACGCAAATAATTTGTGTGCAAAGTTGAGACAAAATCTAAGTCTTCAGTACCGTAATGCGAAAGATGATTTGCATACCTTTGACTTGATCTCTGAGGAGGTCCATGCTGGTCTCACGACGCGCAGGATGTCAAGGCCTCCGCCTTTCGCGATATTTGTCTGGTCCACACTAATCGAAACCGAAGGCACGCTCGTCCTTCCGTTGGACATGCTGTGATTGAAACGCATTTTTGTTAAGAAATTTACTTTTCGAGTTTTTTGGAAAATTTCACTTTTTCCACAAAACGATAACTTATTGGGTGATAGCTTTTTATACACACTGTAAAGTTTACACTGGTTTCTGTTTATTTCAAAATGAACTCTTCTATTTTTATTGAAACGCTGTTCTCAGTTGGGCTTTTGTTCAATGAATGAACAGATTTTTGGATTAAGTTTGCGTAAATAAAGCGGAAAAATATGCCCTGGTCTGATTACGTAAGAGCAGAATGTGAGTCTTGACTCGGTATTTCTTTGGACGACCACGTACACAAGGATGTGCAGTGATGTGTATAGTAAATTGAGCAATTAAATAGCGTCGCACGTCTGATATGCACGAGACGATGCGTGTGTTGATTTACTTAAATTTGACGACGTGTAATGTATTTAATTGCAATTAAACATGAAGGAAGAAGAGGATGACGCGGTGTGTTTGGCAATTTGTTGATGACGTTGAGGATGAATTGATTGGCACGGGGAGTGACCTTTGGTGACCCAAAGTGAAGAATTTGAGAGAGGCGTGGATGTAACAGAAATTATTTATTGCGCCGTTGTTGAATTATCGTCAATTTATCGAAGGAATATTTTTTCTGCTGTGCGAGACTTTTGAAGGAAAATGGTACCCGAGTGAGGAGAGGACAAGTAGATACTTTGGGTAATAATTATGTGTATACGCAGTATGTACAATAATTTAATTGTGCATAATAGTTTACTGGTGCTTTTAAGAGATGGAATATTTCTGTCGCAATTTTTTTAACACGAGCGAACTTGTGGCATCTTTGCAAACTGGGACAAGAAGATTATGATGGGTCTCAATTTCCCAATAATAATGTATCCAGCCCATGAACCAGATCCTAAAGGGTTGTGCATCAAGGATGCGATCCCATTCTTGCCAATTTGAGCCCTTCATAGTAAAGAGATAGTAGAAAGCAGGAGTTCACAATAGGCGTTACACAATGCAGCTCATTGAATGGGAGCCGACTCGGATAATGGATCACATTCTTAATGCCTTGTCCCCGAAAGTAGTCTCAAGTTTTTTGGCAAACAAGTGAAACATGTGAAAATCTTGGTGTAAGTAAATCGCAGCTGGGATCGTGCACAAGTCATGTGATGGATTTTATGGGGTGTGGAATCCTGCCTTCCATGCTAAGGTAAGGCCGAGGGACAGGGGGAAAATTCCCAGGAAATTTATGATACGCATGGTCCCCACATGTGCATCCTGCTTTTCGTCGCATGTTATTTGTATCTCGCATAAATAGCAGATTTAAGATTTCGCATGATTTTTTATATGTAAACTGTGCTTGTGTTAACTAAAAATGTAACAGTATGGGATGTATTCATTGTTTATAAATAGGAGTTGCACTTGCACGAAATATGCATATTTCCAGTAGAAGACCTGGCACTGTGTGGTTTAGAATTCATTGTGTTGATTTCAAAATTTAAAAAAAGCATTACATTATATATATTATTCCTCTTATTGTCTGAACATGGTGTTCGAAAACTCGCAAAAATACATACCTACAAGGAATTCAAGTTATGGATCAAAACCTTGTGTAACATTTTTTGCAATAAATTTCATCAAGCACAGAGTAAAAACCTACAGTGTGCAGTGTTTATATAGCCCGAGTCAGGGACAGAGTCCACTTCTAACTGTTTGTCAAGTGACATACTAATAGTTCTCAGCATCCAACCTCTTCCAAAATTTGATTCCCGCGTTCGTATCCCTACCATACTAACAGTGTGGGAAGGATACGAGCACGTGATGGTCGAGGTTGCATGCTGACCATATTACATGTGTCATACCAACTACTATTAGTAGTTGGTATTATGGGAAAATTTTTGACGATTGCGAATGATTCGCAATCGTCGCTGAAAAATTGCAGCTTCTTTAACCAATTCCAAAAACCCCACTGGGTCCTCCTGGAAAAAAACTTTAAAATTTACTTCACATTTATTAAGCTGATCTAACCCTGCAGGATCACGCCAACTTTTAGTCGTCTACGTCCGTTTTCTAAACCAGTGGGGGTGACCAGTGTGTGCAAAAAGTCAGTTTTTTTGCTATTTGTTCATGCCTTTTTGCCTTTTTGAGTGCCTTTTTGCCTTTTTGAGTGCCTTTTTGCCTTTTTGAGTGCCTTTTTGAACTGTATAAAAAACGCAATGAATAACTTTCACTTTAATTTTATTTCTTCTCATCTCGCCAATTCAAGTATGACCAATTTCCCGAATTTCAGCTACCAATTTTTAAAATAGCGACATTTAGAAACGGTATGGGTCACCCTCTAGGTTACTCTGGTTCCACTTTGTTCGCCTTTAACTTCATATACTTCCATACGAAACCATTAAGTATCACCGTACCGAATTTCATCTTTTTAAGACAATTTATAAAAATCGGTATGGGCCACCCCCTAGGGTCGCTCCACATAAAAATTTTACTAATTTCACTTCATATTATTCCATTAGGAGCTATTAGAAACAGCAATGGCAAATTTCAGCTCAATTAAATGGTTTTCAAAAATCGGTATGGGTCACCCTCTCGGGTTCCTCCAGATAAAAAATTTGACCAATTTCATTTCATGTTCTTCCTTAAACCCCATACGCAACCTATCTACCAAATTTCAACTCGATAGGACGATTTTGACAAATCAGTATGGGTCACCCCCTCGGGTCTTTCAAAATGAAATTTTTTCCAACTTGAATTCATACTCTTTCACTAGACACCATTAGCAACCTCAGTGCCAAATTTCTGCCTTCTATGACGATTTTGAAATTTTGATGCATAATACCCCACCCACCTATATGACCCCCACTGGTCAACCACTTGACCGATTTCGCCCATCTTCGAATTTAACTCCTCATTTGCCCCATACTACATGTGTACCAAATTTCAAGTCGATAGGATGAGTTTAACGAGAGTTATCGTAAGACGGACAGACGGACGGACGGACGGACGGACGGACATGATGGTTCCATAAGCCCTGACTCGGGCTAAAAAACATGAAACGGAATAGGTAATTGTAATTGGGAAGTGTAACGAAAAGTCTTAAAAATGTCGTTTACTGATACTTCATGTAGATAAATGCAAAAGATGGCTTGATGGGGGCTGTGGTATGTTGCGAAATTACGTCAGTATTCATTTCTTTATTAAAACGGGTGTGTGTCTCATGGCACGTTCATTGATACATTTACACGGAAGACCTAATAAGAAAGAATGAATCTGGAATTATCAGACCTGTTGTAAGTCAAGTTCTACCCATGACATGAAATTATGCGTAGTTCAGCCAGTTTGTTTAAATGCTATCATTAAATTAAGTTACATTTTGTACTATATGTACAAACTGGGCTTGGTGCACGCGTGTAAAATGTTGGCTAATTGATTGAATCAATTTTGTTCCGATGAATCGAAACATTATGATCCGTAACAGTTTCCAGCCATGCTTTTATAAAAGCCGACTATTTTATTTCGTTGAGCTCCGGGTATGAATGTAGCTTTTTCATAATTAAACATTAGCAAATACTTCAATGTTCAAATTTTTACGTATGTGTTTGATCTTCCAACACCCAACGGAAAATACTTAACAACGTGTAAAATTGTGTGGTTTGAAAAAAAAATTATGTTTATGTAATTTGAAATTTGTTTCTGAAGCAAACATGGGTACATTTCGTCCCGTAAATTAATTTGAATTCAACAAAGTTGGTGCAATTCTGTGTTTCATGCACCTGCTGGAACTAACCATAAGATATAAAAACATTTTTTGTTACAGTTGACCCAGTTTCGAGCGTACGTACATTCATGTACATTCGTCACGACGATATGACTCCCTGCCAAATATTTTTTTTGTGATGTCCAACTTTAAAACAAGCGCATATGCACGCACATCTTTGTCTTATCCTATCAAAGATAAAGTAAAAGTTTAATATCATTTTGCAAACATTAGCTTACCTTATTTTAAGGAGGTAATATCAAGGAAAGACTTCCACGAGGCAAAAAACTTGTATGATCTTTAAAACTCAGTCAGTAGGTGGACTCCGAAAACTCGCAACAAATTCACAAAGATTACGAAGCAAAATGAGCGTCAAAATTTATCGTAAACTTCCCAGACTAGAACGAATTTTTAATTTTTAGAGTAATTTTACAAAGCTTACACAGATTACTGGGTTTCTACTCTGGTTAAACTGTCTCAACAATTAGGATGGATCGTTGAACCGTTGCTTCTAAAAAGTTTTCATTATGTGTCGTCCAGTCCAGATTAGATGGGCAAACATGCAACCGGATACTTGAGACTGGGGAAATAGTTGTTATGTAATTCGTGGGAATGCGATTGCAAAAATTGCCCAACTCGATTTAACGAGGACACATTAATGACTGAAAAATGATACGAAGCTAAACACAAGCTGACTGGTTTTTAGCTCATGAATAATTTTTATTTGCGATATTTTATAACACGTCAAATAAATGCATGGCGTGATTTTGAATAATATAAATATTTGATTGATAGCGTGCTGTCTGTAAGGGACATGACATATATCGTTAATGTTTAGGTACATAATGTGGTATGTCACTTTTTAGTCGTTTTATCCCTTTGGAAATACATAACAAAAAGTTAGCAAACAGACAACACATAATGCACATTCGAAAACGATATCGTGCATAGAATTATAAAGCTTCCCGTTATATCATAATTAAAATATTGACATGATGAGATTCATAGCGGTACTTTTTCTCTTGTCCTGGTTGTTGATTTGTAAAATTTTCCGTTAATTTGCAATTTTAAATAGTTTGTCGTAAATAATAAAGTGTTTGATTTAATTTCATCTCATTAAACATTGTGGAATGGCAAGGTCCAATCAAGGCATGATTGTGTATTTATGCATGGAAGAGATTCACGTCAACCCTGTATCCTTTTGGAAAATGGCTTTACTACTTATAAATTTCATAAAGTCACGTTTTGGAAAAGTGGAAGTTAACATGTCAAATTTTCGAACCCGAATCAACCAGCCTGTCAAAATATATATACTTTAAAATTTGGAAACTTAAGTACATACAATGTTGACGTGAATAACTGAGTCCGATAAATTTTTAACTCTATAATTAATGAATATATTTACAAAGGATTTGCCACAATTGTTGTTAACAATGGAAATGAATCATATACACCAGTTAATTAATTACATAATTAATTACAATTATAAACTTAACAATGTGTGCCAACTTGATTGATTAATTAACCTTTTGACTTGCTAAATTTGAAAAGCAATTTCAGGTAGCTGATGTGCACCGGTAATTACATAGGTAAATTTGACGTAGTCGAAGGCCCTGCAGTTCACCGAAACAGGATACACATCTCCTCCAGACTTGGTCGAAGATCCATGACAAGTGAGCGGCCCCTAATAAAAAAAATATACATTTTATGACGCTCCGAAGAATATGGCATAAATTGGCTAAATAAAGACGGTGACACCCAAGTATTGTTAATACCCAAATATTAACATGCTTGGGTAAAATTCAATCAACTCGTAGATAAATATTTGTCAGATCCATGAAAATCTTATTTGGGATAATTGTTACCAGCTCAGTGAGTGTAGGAGCCAGGAGGGCATGCAATACAACACTGAATACACGGGGTCACAAAAAACTCGCAATTTTACTACGATTTTGCATATGTACAAAAGCTGGTGCCCACCTTGAGAGAAAACCATGCCCGATAACTGCACCCGGGATAAATTGCCACTGGTTTTGGAAACAGGACATGAAAAATTTCCTTCATTTTGGCGACGACGGTGGACCCTGTCAATTCCGCCAAGATTTCCTGAGTTGAATCCTTCAACAATTTGATGCTGACTTGATACGACGCCACTTCCGCCGTGTGTGGACCGTAGAAGCCAAAACTGACAATTGTAACGGGCTGATCAACCGTGAACCTGGAATTTTACACGAAACGATATAAGCATGGAATTACTTGGGTTTGTGTAAAGTATGTGATTTATACTTGTTAAACCATCCAGCGCTAATGTCAACGTATGGAGTGGTTGCCACCTCGTCGTAAAATTTGACCGTGTAGGTTGAACACGTTCGTTTCTTGGTGTTGAAGGGTAACTTTGGTAGACTGAGGCTGAAAACGTTTTTTAAAACAAAAGTACAAAATAAATGTCACTGCCCAATGTACGCAATTTTGTGTAAATTACCGATTGTCCTTGTCGACCACCATATGTTGAAAGAGCAAAGTGCATTCTTTGGAAGTGAGGAGGTCTTGTGGGACGACGTGGAGGGCGAAATCGTCGACGGGTATGATGGAAAATCGAATCGAGGCGATTGCTTCGCTTGAGAGAGATCGTCGATTCAACGGATTGGGTTCCAAATTTCTTCGGTTGCACTCAGCATTTGTCCACCTAAAGTAGAAATAAATTATATTCTTTAAATAAAGTCAAAGTTTTTAGGTAGTTTTTCAACTGTGTAAACATTTGTGTCTATCGGTTGTGGTAAAAGACAAGTTTTTTAAAGTTTGCATACATCCCAAGTAGCCAAGTCATGCAAGTATTGTACCTTATTGGTACAACAAAATATGTGCAGGTTTCATGCAAGTTTGACCATTTTTATTTGCATTACATGTACAAACAACTAGTGCAGATTTTGTACGAGTGATATGCACTAAAAATGCACTGCATAGTGGCGTGTACTAAACCTGCAGTATAAGTTAGTGCAAATCTAGTACACAAAATTATGCACAAAATATGTACAATTAATCAATGCTAGTTATGTATCACATGCTTGTAGATTTATGCATATAATAAATGAATTTGCATATTTTTAACAATTATTTAATTTATTAGCTCAAAAATGATAATCCTTTGATCTTTAAAGTAAAAAAAATAATATCCCATCAGCTAATTACACAATGGTATACAAAAATATTTCTTGCCACTAATAGGCAACAAGACACATTTTTTGTAAATGCTACCTTTAGCAATTTCGCATTCATATACATCTAAATTATAAACTACATAAATACCTAGTTTACCACTAGCACAAGGGTAAAGGTTAACATCTTCTTTGGACTTGAAGTATTTTACACTAACATTATCAGAATCAGAAGTTTTGCAATTTAAAATGCAGAATCTCCCATCTTTTGTAACGTAACAGTTATCGGCTGGCGAGCCACCTAATTTTAAAGCTTTTACCTTATCTAAAGTTGAGCTAGAGAATTCGTCAATCTCTCCAATGCGCTTTACAATTTGGCTTAAATGAGCTGACTTAGAGCGGAGCAATTTTTTCAAAGGAGACATGTAATTTTCAAACTCGAAAGCACTATAATTATCTAAAGGACCATGAATAATAACATCTTGCCCTACATGAAGAAGACTATGCATGTTATAAATTAATAATTCCTTGTAATAAAGTTTAGGAATCTCGTGCACAAATTTGTTTAGTAAACTTTGTGCAAAATCTATCCATTTACGTTCTAAAGGACTACAAACTAAAATATACATCGCAGAGTGAAATAATAGAAAATGTTCATACTTTTTTGCGTCAAGAATATTCCTTAACGTAGCGGGACCAACATATAGTAAGAAAAGTCTAAACTCGGTGGCTTTCCAATGTTTTAAGTCATTAATACCTCGACATTTTCGAGCAAATTCTTTAGGTACTTGAACTCTAAAATTAATTAATCTATCTGATATTATTTTTTGTTGAACACTGGATAATTTATGTGGCCGCTTTCCCTCCGTCCAAACAAGCAATAATTTTTTCATTGTTCCTAATAAGCAAAGGTAATCTAAAGGAATCTGTGAAATCATACCAAGAGACAATGATTCTAAAGGAGATGGCAAAACGTCTTTGTGATGACATTCGTACCAACGCTCTCTAAAAGACTGGTCCGTATATTCTTCACAAGGAGCTTTAATTGAATAGAGAATACGGGAATTTTTATAACTACCTCTGCGATAACACCTTTCACATCCAAAATAACCATTGTGGGCTTTTATTCGCTTAAGAAAGCTGCGAGCCGGCGCATCAGCTACAAGACAGCGAATCCTAACTGAATAATGACAGCCTTTAGCGTGCACACCATTTTGTTCCAATTTTAGCATTTCTTTGACAAATGGACCCAAGAAGGTTTCTAAACTTTGTGGCTTTTGAGATCCATAAAATAAACTAATTATAAAAACTCTCGATCTTGGATCTTGATCCAGCTTCCCTAAAATTGGCCAAAATTGCTTGTTTGAACTTCTGGAAATTGGCAACCCATCTATTCCAATTTTAAGTGTTAAAAGATTCCGTAATTCTAGAAAATTGCTCAAATTGGGAATTGTAAAATCTAATAAGTTCCCCGATTCTATTACTTCATTAATATGTTTGAGGATTCCGAAGTGATAAAATTTTCCCCCTTCAATATCCCTAATTTCTATGACCCGTTTAGTTTTTAAAAGTGTTCTAGGATCCATTGGAAACCCCTCATGAGGCAGCCATTCACGGGCTAAATATAATAGTTTTGACAGAGCGATATGACTAATATTAAACTCGGTTGCCCATTTACCTAACTGAATTAATTTAGACTTATTATTAATTGGTGGGATAACAGAACAAGTTGGCATAAGATTTTCAGCTTCCTCAATTTGCAAATTACTTTCTACATGTTCTAAATTAGCGATGTGACGAGAATGCTGGTTGTTTGATTCGTCTTCATTACTCGTCTCTGCCAGAATCGTTGTCGTACGTTGAGTTCGTTGAGTTCGAATTCTCTTGAGTGCCGCGGTGACCACCCTCTCCGCTCGCCGTTGCAGTGTTCTGCGTGGGGTGACCAGTTTTGTTTTCATTTCTCGATTTATCACGTTGTGAGGACTGTCGAAACCAGGAAGCAATGAAGCGATTGATCTGGCGATCCGTTAATCCAGGATTTGATAGTCTGACGGACTCTGAAAGTGAAAAATAATTATTATTATTTAAAAAAATACTACAATTTGTATTCTAATGTGTATGACTTGGTTTGTTTACCACGAGTAAGTTTTACGAATAACTTATCCCCAACTGCTGTTTTTCCACTCTTACTGGTATAGCGAAGGGTCAGCGCCAGTTGATGACAAATCATCCAATCAAGGGTGTCGTAAACACACTTCGTGCCACCGGAATTACCACCAACTTTTGACAATATCAAAACCTGAAACACATAAGCAATATATATTCTTATTTCCTACAACAGTTATCAATATAAAGCAAGCAAAATAGAATTTGAAAAACATATATAGTACATACTTCTTCCTGGTAGTTGCGTGGGTCCAATAACCATAATTCGACTGCATCCACGTCAGCTGTTGTTTTAATTGGCCATTTCCATCCAGCCTAGCGGGAGTTGGCACCTCGATTTTGTAATGAGTTCAATAGAAGATTCTCCAAATTTTGCACTCGTTCCAGTAAAAATGCTTGGTTTCGTAATGATTCTTCTTGAAAATCTGCAAGTTCAGAAAAAGTATTTTTACAATGCAAAATATAACCAAGTAATATTATTTAATAAGTACTTCTAAATTCTGAAAATAGCTCTGAGAGTTGCTGATCCGCCTCAACTCGTATGTATGGAATTTGTAGGGTCTGCAGCTGTTGATCGTTTGGGATTTCAGCAGGACCGTTCACTTGCCGACTCGAGCCTAAACCACAATTGATATTTTTATACATTTTAAGATCAATATAAAATGTACTTTTTTTAAAGTTCTCACCACTATTTATTTGATGAAGCAACGACGGAGGTGGTTCTGATACGGCCGGGGTGACAAGGACTTCTTCATTTTTTCGAAATCGTTTTCCTCGTCCTAATTCTGCATCAGTCGAGTCAACCTGTTGATTCCTAATGTGCTTTTTTGCTTTTCCCTGTGCTCTTTTGTAGTTATCTAAAAATTAGATAAACAAAATATGTTAAGAATGAAAATTTACCAGTAATTTTAATTCAGTAGGTTGGACTAGAATAAATTTACCATGAACTCTGACACAAGTGACTTCATAAGTAATCCAATCCTGGCCAGGAACACTATTTAGGTTGGATTGAATACTTTCAAAATCCTTCGGAATCGGATCAGGAAACGGACAAAACTTTTTTCCTACTTTTTCCGATATCCAAGAACTTGGAACAACACTTACTCCATTATCTAAGTGAAACTCGACCACCGTGAAAGTTTTATCACTTTGGTCTGCACTTTGAACCAATTTTTCCATATTAATTAATTATTTAATATTTTAAGAAAGAAGAAAACCACGTTTTGACGGCTGTAGGAAATGAGTAGAGAACTGTGTAGCATGAAGATGGCGCCTGATCACCCTTTTTTTCTTTGTGCATATTTGATGCTAGTTTGGTACATGGAAATCTGCAGCAGAATTCATATATTATTTGGTGCATATTTGGTGCATATTTGATACAGATTTTATGGTACAATTTTAATGTAGATAAGTTTGCATAAAACTTATACATATATTTAATTACTAAGTAGATGCCCAGAAATACGTACAAAGTTGGTAAACATTTTGTACAAATAGACTTGTAAATATGTGTTAGTGCATAATGTTTACTTTTCATGCACAAATTTTATTGTACTAAAATATCTGCACAAAATCTGCATAAATTTTCATTGTGACTTGCACAAGATCTGCACAGAGGCTACTTGGGATGTAAACATGTTAGGATGAATTTTGTCCGTATAATATTCATTTTATGACATACCGTACCACACCATGGAATAAATCCAGTTCTTGGCCATGTGTATTGTCATCTTTCAAGAAATTGACAAGGTTTGGCAACGTGATGTTTAAAAAATCTTCTGTTCGACAAATTGCATCAAAATGCCTGCAATCAAATTAAGAAATAAATAAGGCCTACAATTTTCATGCAAAGAAAGTGTAATTTTTCACCGAGTTGCAAATTCGCTCGTAGAACTGGTCAAGTCGTCAATGTCGAGACGTTGGGCAGTTTGCAAAATACTGATGGCGGTCGACGGGCTGACCAACTTTTTGACGTGGTCTGTACAAACCAATTCAAGGTCTGTAATGTCGTATTTTCTGGCCGCGTATAAAACTGCGAGGGCTCCGTCGACGGGCAAATCTCCCTGAAACTCGCCCGTGTAGATGAACTTGAGCATTACCTGGAGCATTAACATGTAATGCATCTTACTGCGTCAAAAAACAAGAAGAAATCAATTGTAATCATTGTCTGTTAAGCGTACGTTAAATGGATGAGGTTCAATGTCTGGAATTTGGATAACTTCCGCAGGTCCGGCAGCCAAGGGACCTAGATAACATAATAATTATTAATTATACCAATTAGTTTCAAATTCAGCTACTCATAAATTCGTATTTATATTTAACGCTAAAGTTTGTCAACTACGACAAGTTTGACCTAAACTTTAGAAAAATTTTAGTACTACGCAGATTCCTTTGCGTAATATCTTGATCCTATCAAATTAAAATTCATTTCAAACGCTGTAAACGTGAATGAAAATTCCTCCCACCTTGGAACATAGCCTCAAAGACTGTGGAGTACATGGCGAGGACGAGTCGGTGGGCGTGAATGGTTTCATTGTTGGAAGGGCTGCCCACCGAAAAAGTGACATCAGTGAGTTCCTTGGACTCCAGAATGTATGCCAATTTCTGCGTCGGACCAGGACGCAGCTTTCGCCAGTCGGTAGAACACGTGGTTTTGGTGGGAGCAACCTTAAGGTCCCCTGACATACTATTCCCCAACGGAAGGTACACCTGGAACTAGAACACATGGGTTAGGTTTGCAATTTGCATCATTAATTAGAAAATTCACTATTTAACAATAGGTAAATTTAATCCGAATGTATGACGTATAATTAACCAAACTTACAAATGTTTAGGAAAGATTGAAGATATCACCACAGGAAATCGGCTGCTTTCATAATTTATAACATAAAACTTGGAGTTAAAAATGTAGCATAATCTTTAAAGTTTTTACTGGGTAATCTCTGAATTGCAAATATGCACGTTTTGTTAATCAAAGAGGATTCACACAGACTTTGTAAAGTTGCAAATTTAAATTATTGAAGGAACAGGCAATTATAATAATTATAAAATGAAGACCTTGATTTTTGGGGAAGTTTATGATTGTTTATGGCCTGCCAGCTGATTTTAGACACATGTGATTCTCATCCGCCCACTTCTCACCACATGCATGACAATGTGCAAGATGTGCATAACGGTGAACGTGAATTGTCGTGAATGGGGAATATTTGCGAACCATGTCAACATCCATGAAAACTTCATTGAAAACCTTCGTTTGAGAAATGTATGGATAAGTAAATATGCAATTCAGGTAAATTCATGAGATTTATTTATACATGAAAGTGTAAAGTTTGCAAGTTTTATCCCATGGCTTTATCCGACTTCAATCCAAAACTTGGGTCTCTAGACTCTCTCTAGAAATGCATTATCATTTTCATACAAGTTTTGAAGAAATAATTAACAGCACACCAAGCAGTAAAATAAATAATTAGTGGAGTAATTATCATGATGCATCCCATACATATCCTAACTAATTAGCATAATCATCTTCGTAATTACCATATTATCCACATTCGCATCCGGACTTGGATTGTAGTCTAAATTGTATTCCAAAAACGAAGGATGAGTTTCTCAAGTAAAATTCGGGTTTCCATTTTAATCCTGGTTTTAAAGTGGGTTTCCCTCGTGACCTCTTCTGCGGACCCGCTTTTGTTGACCCCGCTGTTGTCGGCAGGACGCGTGGAGGACGCGAGGAAGTTGGCCTTGGTCAAATTGAGAAATGTTACTTCCGGTTCTTCCGTTGGCGACACGCTGCCCGTCGAGGTCATCAGCTACAGCGGCCTGCTCACCGTGGACGACGCCTGTCATTCGACCATCTTCTTTTGGTTCTTTCCGGCCATGGTTTGAAAACATTTTTTAAATTTCTCTCAAAATTTCTACCTCAGTACACATTTCGCTAAATTTTGTCAATGCATTTTTATAATTTCTCAAAAACACGTCTCATCTCATCTTGAAACTTTTAATGAAAATTAAACTTCATAAAGCCGAAAATATGTTTTTTTTAATGGTATCAAATTTTCTAACGTGTACAAATTCTTCGTAATTTTTTCACGCAGGCACTGCACTACCTAGAGTTTTTTGATTTACCTTGAATTGAGATTGGATATTTGAAATATCCAATCTCAGAAATATCATGTTTCTTTTACCAAATTTGTGTCCCTTACATATCCTCAATGAGATATGTTAACGCAGAAAAGCAAATAAAACATTCAAATTATGGCTATAATCTGGCTATAATCATTGCACGTAAGATATGTAATTCCAGTATGACGCCCCCACTGCGCCCGTGATCCTGTGGCATGGCGGAGGACCAGGAAGCAGTGGCCTCTCAGCCCTCTTTTCACAACACGGCCCATTTTCCCTGGGAGACGATGGCACTCTCCACTTGCGCCACATGCCGTGGGCACTGGCGCGGTCAGTGCTCTACGTCGACAGCCCGGTCGGCACGGGTGAGCCTCAAACAATGTGGTACTTGTCCCTGGCTGAGTGTGATTACAAAATTATTAGTACGCATTATTAAAACGGGCGTAACAAATTATTATCCACTCAGTAACAAACTCTAACCAAATCAGTGAGAAAGTACAATTACAATCGGTAATTTTATGTATGGCCAACCACGTCGGACAGAAATTGAAATTATATGACCAAAGCGGTAACAGTCTCAGTCAGCCGGTAACAAGTTGCCACCACTTTATCTTGAGCTTGATGGATAAGAGTTGACATGATAGATAACCGCACGTATATGAAATTAGGATTCAGTCGACACGATGACCGTCCCGAGTGCTACGTCAGAACGACGACCAAGACGGCGAAACACATGGTGACCGCAATGTCCCAATTTTTCATTATGTTTCCAGAATATGGGAAGAACGACTTTTTCATATTCTCAGGGTCTTACGGAGGTAAACAGACTCGAATTAGGGGAGATTTGGTGCCATAAATTTTACACTTTCTAATATTTCAAAAATATAAATTGGTCTTTACTTCATAGGTAAATTTGTTCCGGCCATAGCGTACGAAATCCACACCCAGAACCGAAATTCAGTCACCATAAATCTGAAGGGTTTCTGCATAGCTTCCGGTTTCTCAGACCCAATTTCGCAGATCGACTATGGCGCCGTCTACTTGGCACAAGGTCTCATCGACGCTGGCGAATTCGACAACTTTCATCAACAGGAAACGGCAGCCAAGGCAAACATAAATCAAGGCAATTGGAGTGCTGCGTTCGACGTGAGTTGTATTGTTGAGAATTTACTATGTTCACTTATTTACTTCGATAAGCAGAAGCTACATATTCATTTAGATAATCGAGCCCCTTATCATCGGGGTTGACGAGGCCCCTTCGCGTCTCACCAACTTGACCGGGATCACCTTCCCCTACAACATGGCGAAAGACTGGGTGTCAAATCCCCCCGAGTTGAGACGACATGTCGCCTTCCTCAACAGACCGGACATCCAAGAGGCCATTCACACTGGAAGCCTTAACTATTCCACGTCCAGTAGCATCGTCTACTCAAATTTTAAGCAAGACATCTACCAATCGGTCAAGGTTTGTGCTAAATTATAATCTGCTAGCAAAAATACAATTTTGCAGAAACACATATGTGCAAATATTGTACTCACATTTATTTAAGGTTTTGAGTTGAGACTTTGCAATTTCTGGGTTATTAAATAAATCAGAATCTGCGAATTAAAAAAATATTAAAGATATTTGCAAATAAATTTTTCTATCGTATCTTAAAGGATTTTGTATAAAGGATAAAAAACGATTTTATTGTGCAAAATTTCAGCCTATTTTTGAAGAGCTTCTCGACTCGGGGTTGTACCGAGTGCTCATAATTGGGAACCAACTTGACCTGATCGTCCCCCACGCGAGTTTGACCTCGTTCCTCAACGGTCTTAACTGGAAGAAGGGTTCAGAGTGGAGGGGGTCGCGATCCAAGATTTTAGGGGGTCAAGGTCAACGTAAGGTCGCGCTGGGGTATGTCAGACAGGTGGACGAATTGACATACCTGTTTTTACGAAATTCTGGCCATCTCTGGATATTGGACCAGCCCCAGGTTGCGTTCGAAGTCATGACCAAATTCACCAGTGGGGGGAATCTCTGACCAAAAATGGTCGCAGAAACGACGGGAGTTGGATTTCTAAAATTTGGTGTTCAAAAAATTTGTAAAATATAATTTATTGGGAATACAAAATTGGTACCTATTTTTTTAGGAATTTACAAGTTTCACAATGCTCTTTCTAAATTATTCCATAATTACATATTGCATATAGAGGTAGGTATATATACAGATAAATATAAATCTACATGGGGCTTAAAAATGTGCAGTAATCTCTTTTATGACTTTTCGTGTACCAATTTTTTTAGGATTTTTATTTCTTACTACATATGTATAATTACAGGATAACAATTAATTACAGGAAAATTTCACAGTCGCACTAATAATCAATCCCATTGAGTTGCTCATGTATGACATTGCTATTGCTTTTACCTTATTTATGCATTCAAATTAACAAAAATAATACTTTTGATTTGAATTCATGAAACGTGTGTGTATGTATATTTCACATTTCTGTGTATGTTTCTCTTATTATGAGAAAAATTCTACCACATTTTATTCGTCTTTTTTACAAATCAATGGACTAATTTTAAAATAAAATTAGTTTCCTAACTTTTACTACTTAAAGAAAGTTACATCGAGTCATCTTCTCAGCCTTTGCATATTTACTGATGTAAACTTTGGAATAATTGCTTAAGATTAGTTTAGGTTAGATTAGTTTACCGAGTTTATGCATTATGCTTGGAGGGTCGGGATCGCGTCAATAACGGGGGTGCAAATTCTGCCAAACATTGTAATCTTCATCTAATTTATTTAGTTTACTTATGTATGTGCATCTTTGCATTTGTGGGACCGCACACAAATCATGTGCTCGATTTTCGAGGAATTTAGGCCTCCACTGACCTGGTCCACCCCAAAACTAGCATTGGACGGATAGAATACTGACCTCTGACCCACTCAAATCCAAGATAGGTACGGTTCCGTGCATCGAATTTGATGAGGTCTTCACTACACCGCAACTTGTTATTCCACTAAAGTAAATATTTGACTGGGCAGACGACAAGTAGAGCACGTCGGACGGATGAGAATCGACAAGATCTCTGTTTCGATTTGGTTTTCACATTTTATTACATTGCGTGTGTAAACCACTTTTTTATTAATTGGCACTCTTAATCTAATCCAATAGCAGGGGCCGCGCAGGAAATATGTTCCCAATATTTCTCCCAAGTTTTTACCCCATCGCTTCGTGATTCGATTCCCTTTTGACGATACGATACGAGGTGAAGGATGAACTGGAACTCGAAAATGAGATTACGGCGTTTCTGCACGACCCCCACATATCGCACCCTATTCCTTCAACAGAATTACCTTTCCACTTGAAGTATATCGAAAATGAAATGAAAGATCAAATTAGTTTTGGGTGGGGTCACATATAAATTGTGTCCGTGGAAAATGCGTGAAATTTTCCGTTTTTACCCTTCTTTTATGGTAACATGTGGCGCAAAGGGAGACGAGAAAACGACATAATTTACGAATGACCCCTAATTATGAAGTGATTTTTATTTAATTCTATTGCCTGTTACGCAACAACTTTTGCTTTTGTTTTTGCTCATTTCCGCAAACGCAGTGACGTGATTTCATTCAAGATTTGGATTTCATTTAATTTTAGAGAAATTTATTGATTTTTAGAAATTTTTGAGAATGGTTTCATTAAACGGTGTATTTTTCATGGTGGGGGTTTTGTTGGTTGGGGTCGCGACGGGTCAACGTGTGGGGAACGGGGAGGGGTCACGGGGTCGACTGGTTCCTCCAGACGAAAATTTGGGAAACGTGGGCGATCGGTTGGTTTTGACGGGGTTTTTGAACAATGGGAGTGCCCGAGTGGGACGGGAATTTTCTCGGGTGAAGAACATCGTGTCGACTGAGAGCTACAGCGGATTTTTGATTGTGAATTCCACCTTTAATTCCAATCTGTTCTTCTGGTTTTTTCCGGCACAGGTGAGTCCGAGAGTGCCATGATTATAATTATGGACAAATTTTATGCTGACGTTGATGTTTTTAACGCAGAAAAATTTTTTAATCTTGATAAAACTAAAAGTTTGGCCAAATAAATATGTATGCATGCAAATTTGTTGTAGATTTGCAACCTCACTTTCTTTCATAACCTGTGCAATCTGCAAATATGTTTTTACCGGATGGCAAACAAAGTAACATTCGAGTTAAATTCTCACTAGTTTACCCGGTTTACAAATCTTGTAATGAATTATTACTTCATTCCAATCTTTTAGAAAACTAAAATTCCGATGAAGCATAATGAATTATTTTTTTTTACTCTGCACGTTTTTACAAAAGTTGACGTGACAAGTAAGGAATATTTTTTTTGCAGCACCAGCCGAAAACTGCGCCCATCATCCTGTGGTTGGGCGGTGGACCAGGGGTGACGGCGATGTACGGTCTGTTCAATTCGAACGGACCGATTTACGTGGACGCCAAGTTCGGGCCTCACCGGCGAGAAAATCCCTGGTCACTCACGCACTCCATGCTCTACATCGACAGCCTCGTCGGTGCTGGTAGGTTGACACCACGGTCAAGTTCCGAGCAAGGGTTAATAAACTTGAGACAGTTTTTCTTTAACCCAGCATTGGAATTTTTTAGCTGCTTTATACTTTGTGACACAATTTGTGAATTATTTGCAGGCTTTAGTTTCACGGAGGACGAGCGAGGTTACGCGAGAAACAGCGAGGACGTTGCGCGTGACCTTTTTTCCGCACTTGTCCAGTTCTACCAGCTCTTTCCGGACTTTCAGGGCAGAGAGTTGTTCATCGCTGGGGAAGCTTATGCTGGTAAGATGATAAGCGCAACGATAAGATGAATCTTTTAATCTAATCGACGACGAGTCAAAATTTTGATTAGATTTTTGGTAGTAATTTTTACGTGAACACTAAATTTTCAAGGAATTGAAGATTTTTGTCCACATTTTCGTTACACTTAACAATTTGACTAAATTTGATTTACAAAAAATGATCTCAAAACTTTCGTAATTTCGCAATCTGAAGGAAATTGTGTCCAATGATTTGCTTATTTTAATTTTCAATTATAGCCAAGTATGTATTGACAATTGCGTCGAAGATTCACCGGGAGAATTCTGATTTTCCGATCACGCCGATCAACCTGCGGGGCTTTGCGTTGGGCTGCCCCTTCATCGACCCCTACAACCAGCTCGACTACGGCAACTTCTTCCACAGCATCGGTCTCATCGGGGAACAGGAGCAGAGCTTCTTCCACGAGCTGGAGAAAGTGACCCTTGACCTCATCCGCAAGCAGAGGTGGGCCGACGCCTTCAAGGTGCGTGCCACAAAGTTAAGGGACTTAAACTAGAAGCTACTTTTGTCATTTGGTGACGTCAAAATTTGTGAATTAAAGAGAAAATTTGGGGTGCAGGGGGTTAAAGAGAAATAATTTAAATTTAAAAAATTATAGCTTGAAAATTTTGAAATTTTGTAAAATGTAAATTTGAGAAGAAATTAAATTTAAGAAAATTTAAACCTGGTATTTTTTTGTTGGTTATGCAGGTGGGCGAGTCACTTATGGGTAAATTTATATCAAAATGTGGTTTTATTTAATTTACATTTAATTTAATTTTCAAATTTTGAAATATGTTCAAATATGTTTGAATATTCAGTCGGGTACCCCCTCACGTCGCCATCCTACTTCAAAAACGTGACTGGATTCCGTTACATTCGGAACTTTTTGCAATCCACGGGACCAGAAGACCGTCACTATTTTATTAACTACTTGGAACAGGTATGTACGAAGTTAATAAATGATGATGACTTTGCAACCTTGTAAGTTTTGTAACCTTTGTGAAACTAATGTGGCAAAGCTAACACACACAAAAGAAAATGAGAAAGTAAATTTACATAGGTTTCAAATCAGGGCGTGAACTATTTACATAGACGGATAGGTTAGGTTTGATGGTATCACCACTAAAATTTGAGAATCTTTGCAATTTTACAAACTTTATTGGCATATATATTATCAAGAAAAATCATTTAGCCAAATGATCACAGCATGATTTGCTCATGCAAAACCTCCTCTTCTACAAACAAGATTTCTTATGTAAATTATTCCCTTGAATTTCTAAATTTCCAAACATTTACAAGACTACTAAAATCCCTTCAAAGTAAATAATTTAGTCGGTTTACACCTACGTACATACATATGCTCAATCTTTCACTCATCTTCAATTTATGACTGTCAAGTACATTGACAGTTTCCGAATGCGACGTGAATAACCCAAGAAAATGTTAAAAATTGTCCACGGCCACAATTCCATTTGGAAATTTCAAAAATTACAAACTATCCGAAATTTTGTACCCGATTTGTAAAGTTTTTTTCTCTTTCAGGACTCCATCCGCCGCGCTTTGCACGTCGGTCCTCAACAATTTTCCAACTTCAACGACACGGTGTACTATTCCATGCACGAGGACGTTTACCAATCGAAACGCCACCTTCTCGAAGAACTGCTGGATGCGGAGAATGGCTACAAAGTGCTCATCTACGCCGGCCAGTTGGACGCCGTGGTGCCACACACGACGGTTTCCAACGTCATCAAGAACCTACGCTGGAAGGGCGCCGCGGAATACCAGTTGACGGATCGGGTCGTGTGGAAGGTCAACAATGACATTGCCGGATATACGAAAACCGTGAGAAATCTGGTCTACTTGATGATGAGGAATGCAGGGAATATTGCGGGCTATGACCAACCCCTCTGGAGCTTTGATATGATTAACAGATTCACCGTGTAGATTAGCTAATCAATTAATTAATTAAGAATATTCTAGTTTAATTTGTCCTGCGTTTTGTAGAACGGTGTGGCCGTTCTTCTTATTGTTTCGCTGCTGCGTAATGTGGTTTTTGGCCAAGTTTGGAATAAAATTATTGGACAAGTAGATAACTATTAAGATGGTTTCACCGTGATCCTATGTATGAAATGCAAAGTTAAATATACTTAATTGTTCAAGTAATTGTTTTGATGGTATGCTTGTAAATAAATATTATACAAATATAGTATGTGATGATATGATAAAATACTCTGTATTAATAATTGAAAGAAATTCCTTGATGATTGATGTTAGACTAGTTTTATATATTTTTTATTAATTCCGTATTATTATTAATCTACTTTTAATTGTAATCTGAACAAAATGCTTGTTAAAGATACCAATGACGATGACCATGTTATGCATGTGTAGCATTTTGTAAATGATTTTGTCTCAATAAAAATTGATAAAACGAGAATTTTGGATTTTTGGGGAAGGTAATGATTAAAAAATAAACGTTGGCGTTTCAAGTGACCCACCGCATGACAAGTGGGGTCTAAAAATGACGACAATTCCGTGAATGCGATTTACACCACAAAAAGCATAATCCTAAATTCGGATTCCGAATAAAAGAAATATAGGTACATACGTACCAATAATAGCATCGAAGTGGTAATTCACCGAAATACATTTTGTGATCAAACGGTGCAATTTCATGGAGAAAGATTCATAAGTTTAAAGGAGAAAGAACAACGTGATCAAATCAATACTAGCATCATCACAAGACACCAAAAAATAGTCTAATAATGTCAGTATTTTAAGTCATAATTGGGGGAAATTCACAAAATTTCAGAAACGTCCTCGTAGCTCAACATAGCTTACATCTTATAAAAGTGGGTGTCAATCTATGTAGAAAAACTGAGTGAGAACGGGTACCTAAACGAGGACATCGCTGGTGAATGGGATGAAAAACTGAACATTAATCTGACAGATCATACTAAATTATTAATTAACTACCTACTTTCGCATCAAATACATGAATGTTCGTAAATCAAATAATACTGAAAACACCATCGGGACTAAAATGATGAATTATGTATGTGAATAAATAACAGTAAAATATATCATTTATATGCTGATTATTTTATTAATTTCAAAAACAAGTATCGGTACAGGTAGGGCTAAATTCAATCTGTAGTGCAAACAATTGTTATTTAAAATCAGTAACAAAATTTATCCAATATTAAAATACAAACTTGTAACAAGTTTAACTGATTAAGTTAATTGGTGTCGAATATTCCCTTTTATTGTGTAATTAATTACCTTGTCTAAATAATGACCTAAATACATGTAAGGTCATGTCGCGATTTAATTGGTGTCGAATATTCCCTTTTATTGCTGCGTTAATTACTTTTCTAGTATAATTGGTGTCGAATATTCCCTTTTATTGTGTAATTAATTACGTTCTTCAAGTAATGACCTAAATACCTGTAAGGTCATGTCGCGGTTTAATTGGTGTCGAATATTCCCTTTTATTGTGTAATTAATTACGTTCTTCAAGTAATGACCTAAATACCTGTAAGGTCATGTCGCGGTTTAATTGGTGTCGAATATTCCCTTTTATTGTGTAATTAATTACGTTCTTCAAGTAATGACCTAAATACCTGTAAGGTCATGTCGCGGTTTAATTGGTGTCGAATATTCCCTTTTATTGTGTAATTAATTACCTTCCCTAAATTATGACCTAAATACCTTGTAGGTCATGTCGCGAATTAATTGGTGTCGAATATTCCCTTTTATTGCTTCGTTAATTACTTTCCTATTATAATTGGTGTCGAATATTCCCTTTTATTGTGTAATTAATTACGTTCTATAAATTATGGCCTAAATACCTTTTAGGACAAGTCGCGGTTTAATTGGTGTCGAATATTCCCTTTTATTGTTTCCCTAATTACTTTCCTAAAAACTTGACCTAAATACCTTGCAGGTCAAGTGATTAGCCCTCCTCCTCTTCTAATTGGTGTCGAATATTCCCTTTTATTGTTGTATTAATTAATTAGAAATGACGTCCAAAAGTAGCTAGATTATCCCATAGTGAGGGTAACCATCTTTTATTAATTTTCCTGGTGCCTATCGAGCTATATAACGAGTTTCACCGAATCAAAATCTGATTATCCTAACATATTTGACTTGTAAAATGTAGTTAGTAATAAATCTGGGTCACTTTTACACATACCGAGATTCAGGATTTAAAAAAACTCAAGAATACTAAAGTCAATTTTCCCAAATTGATCTAATTAACTAACTGGCTGGTACCTTGATTAGTACTTGGTACCGAATGGTACCTTGTTCAAGTCTACATCTTTAAACTTATTTGCTCTACAATACAAACTAAATAAAAATTTGCCTTTGATTTCTTGCTGTTACGAGATGATGCAGAGAAAAGTGGAAAGTAGAAATTTGACGTCGTCCATATCATGTCGAAGGATGTGAAATAATTCTGTAAAAAAATAAGAGAGCAAAATGTTGAACTCAATCAAGGAATATGCATTATTACAAAATCAAAATATTTCTAGGTGGTTCTGTAAAAAATTCTATTATTTAATTACGCACCAGTTCCGTTGCGAGAAAGAATCGGCTCCAACCAAGAAGAAAAGGTCACGATGACACAGATGAAGGAAACTTTGACGCCGCCGGAGTGTTGACACGTCGTCGTCGCAGGATGAGAGGTAAATCTGTACAAAAATTAAGAAAACAAAACCTTAAAACTCAATCAAACAATGCAAAGTCCAAAACTTAAATATTACTGAACGATTTTGTAAAAATTTTAAACAACATTACATTATGTAAACATTAGAATGTAAATATCAGTATAAAGTCGACAATGTTTGCAACAAATTTTGTAAGGTCTCTATAAATTATGAAATTATATTTATTTACCAATTAATAGCAAATGGGAAGACTAATTTGACCAAATCCGAAAGTTTTCCGGTGCGGATTACCATCCTCAGCATCTGTATAAATTTAATAAATTATTATTATGAACAAACTTGTCAAAAATTGACAATAAAACAAATCAAGAAATACATGGAAAGTTAGAACTGAATAAATCGATTAACCAAATAAATCTCATTTCATTTAGAGAAATAAAAATTTCAACCCAAAAGTAATTCTTTAAAATATCTAACCAACTTGTCAAACTTACAAAACTCAAAGTGCAGCAGTGTAAAGCCGATTAAAAATCACGTCATCGCTCGCCTCCACCAACTTTAGTCGTTTCCCATCTTCGGTTCCAAATCCTGTTAAAAAATAAAAACCTTATTTAGCAAACTCAAAGAATGCAAGAATGCTTTCCTTACGTTGTAAGTGTGATATGCGTCATAATTTTCTCCCATAAAAAACGTCAGCACTTACACTTTCTTCAAACTTCCTTAAATTCACGTCACATCAGGTCACCACCTCCTCCCACTACACAAGATCCTGCAATTACAAAAAAAACTTTCATTACAAGATTGTAAAATAAAAAATCCAACAACAAACGCCACAACAAAGCAAATCTCGTAATTTTAACACCACGAATTACGTAAACATTTAACACTTACCTTTGCTTACTTAACTTTCACCTCCTCCCACTTTAGTAAAACATTAACTTTCTAGTCGATGGAGTTAGTTAACTAGAAAAATGTCGGCCGGCCATGCCTCCAGAAGAATTTTATTCGGCATACAACCAGCTCGGCCGCCTCCGTTACACTGAACGAAATATCTTTTGTCCGTGAGAAAGAGAACTCGGATTGGGAATGCGTTTTATTTTAACCAACGCTTTTTATAACAAAGGACGAGCGGGTTAGCAACTCGATGCATTGCAGATATGACGTGACTAACTCTTTGTAAACTTGGCAAAATTAAATTCTGCATGATAAATTAATACGAGACACAATTTACTCAGGTCACGCGTTTGGCGTGAATATTGCATATGAAGTATTCATACGCAATATGAAATAGAAATAAATGATCGATATAATATAAAATGAGTTATAAATCTATGCAAATTAATGGCGAAATCTATTCAATCGATATGCTTTCAATTGATACGAATCTGCTGGAAGGAACGTATGAAATGTATGTATGTATATTATTTAGTTTTGTAAAATTTTATACAGAAATGAGATTATGAACTAAAGTAATGTTTACATATTTTAAAATAAATTGTTAAACACTGGAGCGAATTTGCGACGTTTTGGGTGGACAACCCCAGACGGAATTATCCAAAGGAAATTGTGGAGACTTATTTAGTTCGCATTTTGCAGAAAGGTCGAATGGGTATTTTTAACAAAGAAAGGCAATGAACTTTCTGGAAGGGACGATTTCTTTGTTTAACTTTTTGAATATTTTAAGCAAGGGTCTCCTTCCACGAATTTTAGTTCACAAGGGTTACTTAAATACGATCTGGTTTAAATGTTTTCAATCTTAAGGCAACAAAAAGTTGGAAAATTTTACCATGTTTTAAAAATTATGTGACCACTTAATTTTGGGTTGACATATTTCTTGAGTATTTTGGGTTGGATTATGTATGAGTGTAAAAAAGATGGCAAATTTTATGATAATTTCAGGGGAAAAGTTTAAATTCTATGTGAGTACATATTTGACCTCATTTGCATACATGGGTATATAGAATTTCTGGAAGGTTTACATTTTTGTTACTATTATTTTACATAGTTTAAGGATTAAGTGCATATTTGTTTGGTATGTTTGGTGACTTGCTGGTGGGATTAGGACGAATTGGGTTTCATTTAATTTCTGAACTTGAGAACGTTGTGGGTCAAGTACATAAAAGATGAACGGCAATGTGGTTTACATAGAATTGAAGTCGATTCCTCATTTACGAAGGGAATGGAAAAATTCCAGATGAAGGAATCTGTAAATATATGTAGCACACAGATTCAAATGTCCCTTACAGAGCTATTTTATGAGCGAGTATTAATAGTAGCATGATAATTTTCCAAGTCAAATCGAAAATAATATCCCTATTTTAATTTAATCGCACGTGTATTTGTACAAACATTTCACGATTTTGCATAATCAAGAGAAAAGTGAAATGTCAAATGCACAAGTCGAAATCCATTTATTTTGTATTCCATTCGCTATCCCACACAAGTAGAAAACTGCAATAATTAGATAATTAATTATACTTGTTAACATCCTCGTTAACGGCTCGGCTCATCATTTTCTTTTTAATGCAAATTATATACGAATTTATAATGCAGAAGTGTATGATTATTTTGAGATTTAATTGCGCAATGGTACACTACTTACTGCATAGCGTTTGTAAACGCCTTTCAAATTAATTCCAAGAAAACTTGGAAGTGATTGGTGAGAGATTTATTTGACTTTCTTGCTACCATGATTTGCCGGATCGTGTCAAGGGTAGGTCACAATATATCACGCCGATTGTCACCCATTCTATCTCAGCATACTCACGAGGTCGAGGACTGTTCATAATTACTTATTAGCGTCAGGGAGAAACTATATAATGTGAGTATAATGTGATTATCTTATTCCATGGCATTTTCTTATGGTAAAAATGCGCCCGTAATAGTGAGCTGAGAATGCATTTGTACATCCATCAGTAGTGCTAATTATGGACAATAATTTATGGTGTGAATTTTAGCACAATAGCTCCAACGCGTCAATTTTTTCAAAATTATGTTATCGGACATCCCTTCGGTTTCCTTCATTTGTTAATTTTCAACGCCGTTTATATAAATGAAAGCTTCGTTTTTGTTCCAATAAATAAAAGTCTCATGCAAATATTTATGGCTGTTCAACCATTTCCTGAAAAGTTAAGAACAAATTATTGGGAATAAAAATAATTGAATATCGTGTAAATCACCCGACGACAAATCTTAATGTGAATTTGTATTTTTATCTAATGTCGATCAACAATTGAATGCCCTTTAATCAACACTTTACGCATATAAATTATCAAAATTGCGACAATTCTCAATATTATTTTATGATTGTACGGTTCATCTGATTATTCTAGTAAGCTAAATAGGAAAGCAGGTTTCATTATGAAAATTATGTTAGCGTGAAAAAAGTGATAGTGTTCCCATAGATATAGAGTAGAATAGATCAGGCTTCTTCCATATAGTCAATGTTAAAAACTCGGCAATGTTTTTGAGGTGGGACTAAACCCTGCCTGTGTCTACAAACCAAGCTTGTTAAACTCCGTATTTTATTATCCGACACCACTTATTTTTATTTTGGCGTTTAAATTATTCAATTTCGTATGATCTAAACGCCAAACTCAAAATAACAGGTGTCAAATAATAATTTTTTAATGATGTGCAAGCGTGCTAAGCATTCCATGCGCTACCGTGCAACCATGCGTTATCCCCAAATTATCCCCAAATTCTCCTCCATGCCGAGACGCTTTTTTCAAAAGTAGCCGAATCTACTCTACTCTATATCTATGAGTGTTCCTAACACTGTGTTTTTCAGACAAACTAAAGAAACACCATGTTTTTGTGTTTTTCCTGGTATAACAGGATATTGTCATAAAGTCACAAGTCACCAGATCATGATTGACTGCGTTTATCGACAATTATAATCTACAATTAACCCCCAAGTATTAAATTAAAGAACTTTTTGATATTTTAACGAATCAAAAAGTAAAAACACTTGTATAAAGGAAATACTGACTCGTGTCCAACACATTTAATCAAAACTTAATCAGTCCATCTAATTATAGGAGAAATTTTCTCCGAGAAAATATCAAGATTTCGTAAATGTATATTAAACGACCACGTTATTTACGTAGTCGTAACGTGGACGGGTAAGGGGTAAGTAGAAAAATCTGAATGACGCATGTGAGAAGCACGTTTTCTATGTATGATTAAAATTGTATTTTAAATATTTTACTGTCAGGGCACAAACCTAAAAAATCTTTCAAAAACACAAAAAAACACCGTCGGAATATACCGTACCTTGGAATATTGTTTCGGGAAGTCAAACTTGAAATCTGAATCCCTAGTGAAGTTGACGATTTAATTGCATTTTCCATTTCATTAACAATAAAATTATGACGTGAAGTGCGTGTGAACTAGCGGACTGAATTAAATTATTAATGAATTTGTCGGATTGTATTTAGCAAATGTTTATAACAACAATGTTGTTTGTAAACAAAAGCAATTGTGATTAATTAACAATAATTAGAAATTTTTATGTTTATTTGTAGAGTTGATATGTAACAATGTGCGTAAATAGCATGCGTAATTCGAGCATTCATGGTTTATACATAAATAGGCTTCTTAAATACGACTAATTTATTTTTTTCTTGCACAAACATGTCATAAATATAATACTTAAAAGCACCCAGGTGTGCGAAAATGCAAATGCAAACTGCATGCAAACTTTTAAAAAGTTACAAAATTTCGCATTTCAACATTTCACACCAAAAGTGACAAAACTAATTTAGGACCCGGCAATTTACCCGGTGAACTAATCTGGTAATTTTTTAACCAATTTTGATGATGTAATCGTGGTTGGATTCTGAACGGTTTTACATCTATCAGGATTTTTAATACACCTATATTTCTTTGCATAAATAATAATTTTCTGATAACATTGGTTAGCAATTAGATAATAGTTATTCTTCTATATTATTTATATTTATTGTATGCTGGCATTGGCTGGCAGAATTTTGCACACTCTTGGAAATTTTTGGAAAAATTTCAATTAGTCGATAAATCCATTCCATGTCGCATCCTTATCAATGTATTAAGAGATTTCTAAAAATTATAAGTTTAACACTTTCTTGATTTCGGAGGGTAAATTTACAATTCCATATGCGTATGAATGCGTAATTTCATAATTTCTCGACTGATTGTTGGCCTGTCATCATTACCGTGTCATCTTTTTTCACCAGAATTGACACATTCTACATACATACTTATGGTTAGATACTTATAAATGCATTAATATTAATGGATTTTCAGATTATGCTGACCAGAAGAACATGTTTCGTTTTCATTCTGGTAAGTTCTCACTAATTTCAAGTTTGGGAACCTGCCTCATCTCAACATTTTGGCAAAGCAAGTTCCCCTTTCGCTTGAGTGACGTTGATGCGGCGATGAAATTTTTAGCAATGCAGCGTCACCCCCTTGTTGCATTGAAGCAGCTGGGATAAATGTCAAATTTTAAAAGGAGTATGCAAATTGGTTACAATTTAATTCAAATGCAGGAAAGCGTTAAATACATATGTTTATTTTCTTTAAAATTCTTCGTATTCTTAAATTTTTGTAAAATCGTTAGCGTTTCTGCTTCAGCATGTATACATATTTTCATCTCCACAAACATCAGAGCTGGGCTCCCCTACCGCAACTTTAATGACAACGAATTCGTTTTTTTGGGGGGTTTTGTGTATTTTTACATTTATTTTGTTACAGACTTTAGAAAATGCAAGATTTCACTGGACTGGAAAAGCTTCTCATGCATTTTGAAAAGACGTTTTTCATGGGCTGGGTGCATTTCGATATTTCTGGAATCAAATCTTTATTCGTATGCACTTCTCAATGACGATTAATGCATTTAAATATGATCTGTTGTCTGTTATATTTAAGGCAAAAATTCGATGAGAAATTAATTGTCTTAAGAGTTTAACACAATTTTTAGTCTAATCGCTTTGAGTTCGCATTTCGTTTATGGTTCATTTCTGACGATGAAAATGAGATGAGACGATGAGACTTGACTGTAGTCTCCCCGTTTGAAATTCTTATGAAACACGTAATTGGAAGTCAAGTTTATTTTTTTAAACGTTAACCCCTAAAAGAAGTAATTCATTACGACATTTGAAACGCAATAAATACCGAGTTTGTAAAATTGGAGTATAAATCGCTGCAAAATAAAGAGAAGCTCAAGATTTTCCTGACCACCTAAATATTTAATAAGGAGGAGAGGCTCTCCACATGCACCTCTTGAAGAGAGTTTTGTAACTTGCGATAAATATTTCAAGCTAAAAACATAGATTTGTATTCAAAAATGTTAAATGAAATGATGATTAGTAAATAATTTATTTATTAAGTAAATACTAAATATTGAAATTTATATAAATAACATTTTTTTATTTACAAATTATGAATAGAATCACGTAAGAGAAATTCATCCTGTTTTGCGAAAAGGAAGGAAACCTGTGGTACATAATTGCAGAGGGCAATTTACTCAGTTTAGCAGCAGAAGGCAAAACTGTGCAAGTCACAAGTAAACAATTAACAAGTCTTTTATGACACGAAATGAAATGACGTGCCGACCTGAGAGGCAACATTCCTTCATATTACACTAGAAATAAACGCCGCAACTATGATTTTCATACATAATTTCTGCTAACTTGTGAATATAATCAGTGTCAAGTCACAGGAATGAAAATGAAACGAGTTATTCGAACCAATCATAATCTGAAAATGCGTTAATATTAATTAAATTAAAAACTATGTAACCAATTCACTCACATTCTCGTATTAAGTAACTCCGTAAGATTTTGTAAGTTTTGTTATTTGTTAAATAATTCTATATTCATAAAAATACAGAAAAACACGTGCTCGATAAATTTGCAACCTTCTCCCTAAATTGTTGCAAAATCTGGGTAAATATTTACAAGTTTATAGATTTTACCGAGTTACGAACATCCGAATGAATTGCAATAACAACAGCGCTTGATAAATAAATACTTTTCTAAACTTGAATGAAAATGTATTATAAATAAAGCATGAAAATTTATACTAAACAGAATTCAAAAATAATGCGAATATGTAGAAAATTATCAAATCTGTAAAACCAAAATTGTTTTCATATGTATTTTCGAAGTGAATTAGCATGTGCATACGTACGCTGTAGAATTTCTTAAAATTAAAAAAAACTATATACATTTTCTTTATTACGTGTAAATTATTAAGCATTTCACGAGAAACGGTTGATGCTGTTGTGATTTCATTACCCAAATAATAATAGTGATACATTTAATGTTACATATTCGCATTTTTTTATTAAGAGGAACACCTCTCCTCATAAAAAGGATGCCCTCGTCGTCTAATCACCACGCTGAAAATGAATTCGACACGGTAATTTGCCGCGTAAAGGGAGTAATTTGTGTAAAGACGTGACATTACGAGTCCGTGGGGTCAGCGAAGGTCGAGAAGCAAGCAAAGTAAAACAAGATCATGTACCATGTGCAACTCCGCCTCGACATGTGTGTTGTCTTAAGCTTAGTACTCACGATGGACTTTACGCGCGGAAAACGACTTTTGCAGAAATTCTGCTCAATTTAAGCCCGAGTGGTACTCAGGTCTTCGCGTGAAACTTGTGCGGAATTTTCCGCGCGAGCAGTTTACGCTCAATGTAAGCTCAAAGTTTCCGTTAAATCGAGGCAATTCTTTCACGTGAAATGTGAGCGGAAAGTGACTCGCGGCCCTCTGAGTTCAAAATAAGAGGGCGGAGCAACCTCAAAATCTCAGTTTCAACTCAATGGCAAGGCGGTTAATTTAAAATGGGGCAAAATGAAACCTGTTTTTCAGCTCAAATGACCTGAGTACCTACGAGTGAAAATTGAGCGAAATATACGTGGAATAGTGGTATTTTCTGCCCGCTTACGAATTTCTCTCCAGCGAAAAATTTAACAGAATTTAAGCACGATGAAATTCCGCGTGAACATTCGTCCTGAGTACTAGGCTTTACACCCTAAATGATGATTTGGTGATAAAACACTACCATGCTGAGTAAGCTACTTTCTTACCGGTTCGATTTGAGTTTTTCAGAAATCAGTGTATAGGATTTGAATTATGGAATAGCATTATTTGCTATGATAAATTGTTGCGAAATTCGGTAGGGACCTGTTACTGACTTTTGTCAAATTTGTCAGTTAATACTTAAAAGCATGCTTGAAAAAAAATAACTGAAATGATTTTCATGTATCTATCTGTAAATTAAAATTTCTGCAGCGCTATGAAAATGTGTAGCTTTCTTTTTTGCTAAGGTTGAACTCCGGTTGTTATAAATATTGTTTCTCAACTTTTTAAATTCTAACTTGGCAAGTTACTTATTTGGGAGGCTAATGTAAATTTTGAAATAATTGCTAATTTTCTAAACGAATTTCACAGTTCAAATATTTATTTGTCACGATGTATAAATTTGTTATCAATCAGTGCAAATTATAACCATCTGAACTGTTTCAAAAGGCGGTGGTAATGAATTAAAATGAATTAGTATAAATAAACTTGTTGCAGATGGTTCCCAAATTATTTAGTGTTGCATTCTTAAACTTGAAGTTTGATTTGAATTCAAGATCCCGTTTTGAATCTAGATCTGTCGATATGTACAAACGAGCAATAAAAAAGCAACAAGAGTTATCGATTACTTTGAAAATTGATTGACTGATTCATTTCACTTTATTTCGAAATGAATAAAAACCTTTTCATTCCTAACGCATATTTAACGACATTGTTGTTCTTGTAGCATTACGCTTAATGATTGTATTTTAAATTTTATATAACTTTCCCTCAACGACCAAAATTGTATGGTGGATGGTAAAATGCAATGCAATGCAACGTAATAATAATTGGAATTAATTTGCGGCTCAATTTTCCCTTTTGTGTGTTGGGGACTTTTTTAGCCGAGGTGGAAGCCAGGAAGCTCAGAGTGTTATGTACTCGTCTGACTCGTTTTTCTTATTAATTTTCTGAGAGATGTGATAATAATGTCATTTTTTGTTACCATTTTGTGACTCTGGTTAAGTCGAGGTGTTGTGCAGGGACGATGTCACTTGGATAAGTTTGAAATTAAAAACGCGATAACACAGTATTTTTTGTGACGGAAATTTCCCTGTTTTTCTGTCAAGAAATTAGCCCAAAGATTTTGAAAGCTCTGTTACTCTTAAATTTTTTGGGGCAAAGATTTTATCCTTGTAAATCGTGGGATATAATGTGAGGCAAAATTCTTATCGAATTGATAAGGATTTGTTGCCGAGCGGTGGCAATAATTGTTCACGAAATTCACATATATCACCCAGCGGGGAGAAACCGATTTAGAAATTTGGCTATGCACAGATTTAACTATTGTTAACAAAATCTCAAAAAATGGTTTCATATCGACAAAAAAATCACCTGGATGAACGACCCTCTAAATAATGTAGCAATTTATAGTAGACAGGGACCTCCTCATTGAGTAATAATATATAGTATAGTAATAATTTGACACACAATTTCTAACTCCAATTTGTCACTCCATTTCTTCCATAAAATCCAAATTTCGAAATTTCTTATCAATCCCCCTGTAACAATTTACAACCAAATTATTGGTAATATATTTTTGCGTGAATTATATATTTTGGATAAAGTGAATGGGGAAATGTGACCCCTTCTTCATGCACGGCCCCCATGGGAAAGACGACAGGTTTCATTTTATCTCCTGGTGAGCTTTGATTTTATTGGGTTTCTTATTGCGTGTCTGGCATCGATATGTTTTCGATTCGTAACATTGTCGTTGTTTATGAGAGATGAGGAATTCAAGAATTTATTGGTCCTGTTTACACAAGAAATTTATTTGCCATTGTTCTTACCAGAGAGGGAAATCATTGTTTTGATTATGTAGATTTTTGATTTTCCATTGATTGATTATAGATTGGTTGCGGTTTTGTTTGAGTTTCGCAGATTGATTTAATTGGATGATTGCTATACAGTATTCATAATTGAATAAAATTGGAATTGTGCATATATACGTAATGAGGTAGGTCATGTTGTACACGATGGTTACGCTGCCTAAGTTTTATGTGCAAAACTAAACTTTTAATGAAGTTTAATAAGTTTATGCATATGTACAAGCTTATTAAATTTATTTCCATTCCAATATTTCTAATTGTGTGATAGAAAACTTTGCCAGCTGAAGTAATTGGTTGCAGAATTTAATGGAAACTGATACAACCTTCGTGTTCAAGCAATGAAGAGAAAGGGAAGGATATTGATTGTTATTTATTAAGACTTGGATTTTTAAGTTTGTTCAGGTTGTCTTCAAAATAATCTTGTGAATCGATAATGTTCTATTAATGTTAATGCTTTATTATAATGTTATATAGAGTTCACCGGCATTTTTAAAACATAAGGGAGATTAGATTCATGTTGCTTTCGCAAATTTGTTCTGGATTTAAAAATGATATTTTTTTTACCAAAATTTGATAAACGAAAATGCTAACTAATTATGCAAACATTTGCTAAACAGAACGTACAAGCAGAAAAGAACCATAATATGCGAATATATCTTTTAGCCTAAGCCACCAATATATAGCAATTGTTTAAAAATTTTCGATTAGGTACTACATAAATTATTACTGGTTTATTTATGGAATATGGGACATTATTATGAACAGATAATTTTCTATTTAATAATCGCTTAATCAATTCACGCGAACCTCCGAAATTCATTTGATTACGAAGAAAAATCATATTATACATCTGATAAAGATCAAGTGTATTATTTGATTTAAGTATCCTAGGTTGGAAAATAATTTTACAAATTTTACAATTCTACACCGTTCACAAAGTTAAATATGCCATTGGGGCAATTCTTGTAGCTACATTACATTTTGTAAAATGTTGTATTTACGTATTTACTTTTTCAAGCAAACGCCTATAATTATAGAAGAAGGGGAGTCCGGGATTGTAAAATTAGTTTAAGCAGGTTGGTTTACGAATTTTTACAAAATCAAGATACATGCATATTACAAAATTTGTATAATTTGTGATTTTCCCTGGAGTTTTATTTATTTTATCAACGTTTGCCAGATGGATTTTACGACGTCAAAGGTGTACAAATTTATCTGTAACAATTGACTGCGTGAATTGTCTCATTATATTTTAAGGTGAAAAAACTAATTGGTGGGGAATGCATTGTGTAAAATGCCAAGATTTAATTAAATTTCTCACAATTTTGGTGCAAATGATTCATAAATTTTAGATTTCTTTTGTTTTCGCATTTCTAAAAATTACTTGTGTCGCCTTACTTCCTACTCCTACTGGGAAAATATTGGCGAGTAAATCTTGACTGAATCCCATTTCAGAAACTGATACAAAAAACAATAACAATTGAACATTATAGAAAAAGTACCCACGCTATTTCAAACCGCACCATAATTTGCACTCTAAATAATTCGGGAAAAATTGTTGCGAAAAATATACATCATATTCTTGGAAAATTGCAGAAAATTCTACCAATTCCATCGAGTCGTATAAAACCGGAATAATTAGCTAATTGTTTAGACAAACTTTTAACAAATTATACTAACAAACTAATAGGTTACATAACAAAGTTAATAAATTAAGAAATCTGATGCAATATCTTTGCATCATAAAATCTGTAACACATCACAGTATGTGTATTAATGTGTATTAAAATCATTTGCTACAAAATCGGTAGCAAAATATTTTACCAAATGTACCAATAATTACATAACCAAATTGGTAAACTGGTCGTAATATGTAGTTTAAAAAGATCGTTAAACTTTGATACATATGTTTTTAATTTTTGGGTAAGCACTCTGCACCATAATTATGAAAAGGTTATAAAATGTGTGACCACTGTTGGTTCAGATTTTATTAAGAGTGGACGAAGCCGTCTCTATTTTGCTCAGTCTATTATACTCTCACTTTCTTCCCAATAAAAAACTCACCAAGAAACTCAACCCATTAAATCAAGTCAAGTTTACAAAAGTCAAGTTATAAGGTGAAGGTAGTCGACTGACGGAAGTTGACTCACTTATCGCCATCCTCATCTTTCGTAATACTCGCATTGAAGTAGAAAATCTCACCTTTTTCTGTCCCCCACTACGTTTGTAAACTTTGTAATGGACGATTTGCAAGGCAATCCTGCAATACTATTGTAAAGTAAAGGGTGCTGGCTGTAGTTTTTTAGGGGTAAGAAATTACTCAACTTTTGAAATTACGTATTTGCTTCCTTTCACTTGTGGAGGGACAAGTTTGGTCCATTAGCTCATTCCGTTAGTTAGTTTGGTCTCAGGGGTGGTGGATGAAAGAAGAGATAGATATTTGCGATTAGTGTGGAAAAAGGGTGTGTTTTTTTAGTTTAAGGAAAAATTCGAGGACGTCCCCGATTTTGTAAAAGACCAAGAATTTTATTTTTTGTGAAAGGTACAAAATTTAAAAATAAGACGACTCTAATCTTGGCAAGTTTAATAAACATGTTGCAAATTTAGTAAAACGGTTCTGAGTTTATTAACGTGTTTGCAAAAATCTAATGCAAATTTAAGTTTGAAGTAATTGTAAAGAGGTCCAAATAATTTATTATTGTAATAAATCCTACGAAAAAGTTATCGTGATTTGTGTGTAATTAGCTTGATTTGAAGTGAAACAATGTGAAACTGTGCAAAATAAGATATTGGAAATTGCAGAATATTTTTGACAAAAGTTTGAAATTTGTACGCTGGAAAGATGGGAGTTTTGCTGCAGAATGTGCGCCAAGGGCTGAACCTCCTGTTTACGCCGGTGCTGTATTATGGCGTCATGGCGAGCGTGGCGTTGCAGTTGGCGACGTGGGAGAAGGGGGACAGGACGCAGGACAAGTTTCAAGACCAATACCAAAATCAGGGCGACAAGTTCGACTTTATTATTGGTGAGGGAAATATGAGATGGCACGTGACCACGAAAATTTATGCAGAAAGATTGTGCTGGACATTTGTGCAAGCTTTGTAATTTTGAAGGCCGTATAAAATGTAGCAAAAAGAGTGGCATGTTTAATCCCGAGAACGGTGACCATTTTACCGACGTCGTAAATTTGTAGCTTGCAAACCAATATATTTGGATCAGAATATTTATTACACAGGTATCGTGAATCAAGAGATATTCACGCCAATGTGTGTAACTGAATAAACTCCACAACTTAATTCGTACATATCTATGCAAAACCTAAAATTTTAAAACATTCCACAAATTTACGAACGAAATCGATTACCAATTTATCTTTATACCATATACTGATTGATGGTGTCTGTTTACCTATTTCATAGAAAGTAAATATTACGTTTATTTTGTAAAAGCTTATAAGACGGTTTTGCAAAACTTGTCAGTTTATAAGCATGTAAAATATTACAACCATTTTTAAATAATGCAGAATCTCAAGTTGAACAAATTTTGACCACATTTTGAAAATCGTGTCTCAAGTTTTTTTGTACACTGTTAAAAATTATGTGGTGTACGATTACTAATAATCCTAAGTCAATTTACATGTATGGTCATAAAAATTATTGAGGAGGTTCGTTCACCCTAACTTAGCAAACTGTGTAAAAGGTATTAGTAAAATTTGAATATTTCCATACTATGCGCAACATTTGCAGATAGCATGCTAAATTTTCTTTCAGAATTTTATAATAGGTAGGTTTTGTAACTTTGACAAGTTTACAAAATTTGTTTACAAGCCTTTTCAATTTTTCTCTCCACGTTAATCTGAAAATGTGATTACACCTTTGCAAATTGGGTCTTTTAATCATACAAGATTTGTTAATTTCTTTTAATAACATGCATTTAATGTAGACAAGATCCGCTACAATTTTCTTTTCCGCCGTGAACTAATCTTGCAAAGTTAACACGATTTACGAGACATTATTGTCACTCAATGCGTAAACAAGAAAATTCTATGAAAATGCAAAAAGAAGAGAAGGGAAATTTTAGCCCATTTTTACATTTTTTAGCCGATCTGTGACAATTACTTCTTCTCGAAATAAGAGTGAAATTTAATAATGCTACTGTTATATAAGTTTAAGGTTTACAAGGTTTTATAACGTAAGAATATTTATATCTCAGACAAGCAGATAAGCTTTTCTCGCAAAATGTGTGCACATGTAATGTTACAAATTTTATAAATTTATTCACTTGTAATTTAATATGAATTTACCTAACAAACAATAAAATTTTTGACACGCGGCTCGTCTTAATTGTTTAGCACATTGTAAACTAATCTTACAACTAATCATGGCACTAACGAAACCAGCTCAATATCTTAACTATATTCTTTATAATTATGAATTTTATGTACTCTATGGGCAGATTTTGCCCGAAAGGGTTTTATTAAATTAATAAATCAATCAAAATCAACTAGTCTTACAAAGTATTTACCAGTAGCACGCCCTCGGCTTTCAACATTTCAAAGCAAATGTGCATGAATTTTAGGTACTAAATGTATGGTACTTGCACTCTTGCATACGGAAGAAAGAAATTGTATGTAGAAAAATGGGCTAAAAAGTCGGTGTCTCAATTTGCCTCATTCTTAAAGAGACGTAGATATTCTTAATTTATTTTCTTCCATTTTTTATTAGATATCATTTCTGCGTTCACATTGGCCTCTTCGAGAACAACTTATCTTATCTGCAGTAAAATAATTTATGTAATTAAGAACATCATCAAGCAGACAAAATTTGTCTCATTTTGCCTCCCATATCATTTACTTATAATTTGTCCATGTTAGTGATTATTTTCATTTTCTAACTTTGAATACGTTGAGTTATCATTTATCCTAGTTATCATTTTAGTGACAATCTTTTTCGATGTGGTTATCCAAAGTCTTATCGTTTTCTTTCAGTGGGTGGAGGGACGGCGGGGTCGGTTTTGGCGAACCGTCTTTCGCAACATTACAACACGCTGCTGCTGGAGGCAGGCGGGGAGCCGAGTCCGCTCCAATTCGTGCCAGGCTTCGCCCGTGCCATTGTCAACCACCCCCAAGTCGATTGGAGCTACATGACCGTGGCGCAGAAAAAAGCATGCGCCTTCTCACCCCTCAGGGTAAGCCACAGTATATTTCAGCCAATAAAACTGATATAAAACCATAACTCCTTCCTCAAACCCTCTTACAAATTAGTTCAATTTTATAAAGATGTTGATATTAAAATACTTTCTGAAAATGTTGGGAATAAATTTCCAAAAGCTAGTAATTAATATTTGGTCCATTCTTTACGGATAATTTAAGAGAGCGACATGGTCATCCGGAAAGACGCTGGGGGGCAGCGGCTCTTTGGACTTTTTGACCTACTTGCGCGGAAATCCGGAAGATTTCGATAACTGGGGACGAATCACAGGGGACGCCTCCTGGAACTACGACAACCTTTTGAAACATTTCCAAAAAGCGGAAGATCTCGTTGCAAATTCGACGGATCGTAAGTTTCTAAATTTTTAAATACGATATCAATTGTATTCTACCTTTCAAGTCTTAAGTTTCCGGATAGTTATTTTGATATTGAACAGCTTGTTAAAATTAGGCAGTTTTTGGGAAGTCATGCCGAGAAATTTCAACGTTTTCGGAAACGTTGAAATTTCTCGTCATGCATAATTTTACAACTTAAAACAAATTTTACAACACTGCTCCGAAGCAGTGTTTGAAATTATGCATGTTCTAAACGCGATGGTAGATTTGTAACCCGATCTTCCTGTATATGTACAAGTTTACTTGGCCCATAGCGTAAAAAAGCATCTCTTGGCTGATACTTGCGATAGTTTGTAAATAACTTTGAAATCTTTCCACGTTTTGAACAAACGCGGAAGTGAGCCGGAATTAATTTAGAATTTGTCCTTGTTATTTTCCAGCTGGCGCACATCGCCACGGAGGATCGCTCAGGATTCAAAAGTCGGATTATCTTCCTCTCGGGAAACAATTCCTGTCCGCGGCTGAGGAGCTGGGATATAAAAATGTCGATTTAAACGGGCATTTCACCGAAGGTTTGGGAACTTTGTTTAATTAGTGCAAATTTAGCGTGGAAATTTTGCAAATTAAAGAAAAACATATTGTAGGTTTCGATTACGTATACTCGACGATAAAGAAGGGTGAACGACAAGCCCCCGTGCGAGCATTTCTGGACCCTGTTCGAAAGCGGAAATCGCTGACCATTCGAAAATTCGCCGTTGTGTCGAAGGTATTATTTTACACGAGTAAATCGTAAACTTCGAATCTTGAAATACCCTTTAAATATCCGACATGCACGATCAAATTAATACATAATTGGTTGTTAAGATTTTAGGTCTTAAGAATGTTGCTTATCATTGCTTATCATTTTGCAGATCAAGTTTCGCGAGGACACGACGGCATACGGAGTCGAGTACGAGCGTCACGGTGAGAAGTTTCTAGTTTACGCGAACCGTGAAGTTATCTTGTCGGCAGGTGCGGTGGGCTCGCCAAAAATTCTGATGCTGTCCGGAATAGGGCCCAAAAGACATTTGGAAGAGTTCGGGGTAAGAAAGTGATTACAACTTTTCAATTTGCAAAACTAGTTGTGAATTTTTGATATATTTACCTACATACTTTGCACAATTTCTGGTCAAATCATACAGCTAAAATAATTTAGAGATGCAAAATTAACATTCAAATTGCATTTGCAACGAGGAAATTACTCTTTCCTAGAATGGTGATGTTTGAAATCATTCAAAAGTGACTTGTATGGAAATGTGTCTTTCATGATGTCATTCACATTTACAAGGGTGCAAACATATTTATATGCACATGCATATGTATGTCTATATTTTATTTTATATGCAAAGTTTGTAAAATTTTTCTACAAAATTTTACGGAATTTACAAAATTACCAAGGACTGCGGTATATATTGGCCAAATTGAAATTAGAGTTTTACACATGTAAAAAGTATCTACATTGCATAATTCAGGTTCGAGATTAATCACGATGTTTCCCACAACCTTTGGCCAGAATTAATTGCAATTTAATTTACAACTTTGTAAATCTTTCTTGGAAGTGATGAGTTAAAGAAATGATTTATACAGGTGAAAGCATTGGTGAATTTGCCAGTGGGTCAGAATTTGCAAGACCACGTGGGCACGTATCTCGGCCCCTTTTTCATCAACGAGCCCCTCACTTTCGCCAAGGACAGGGACATCCGAGCCGAGAGCTATGTCGAATACGGGGGCCAGGGGACAGGGCCACTCAGCTACACCGGATACAGCGCCACGGGTGAGCACAATAATTGTACAACTGAAGAAAATTCACGCCAGACTTTGTGAACTTGTTTAATTTATAAATGTCCCAACAATTTGCGAAAATTACGAAGGAAAATCAGGCAGATTTTGTGGAGTTTACTAGGCTACAAATACATATTCGCATAAATAGTCAGCAAACGTAAATGCAACCACTTCTTCTATTTTTACGAAAAAAATATGAGATATGAATATTATTCACACAGCTTAACTCAATTGCAATTAGATTTAGCAACTTACATAATTTTCTTGTCACATGATGACGAATTTTTTGTAAGGAACTACATATTAAATTACAAAAAAATGTGGCATTTATTAGGTCTGATCTCGTCCCTGTACGCGAAAGGTCGCGGCGAAGCGAGCTGGCCTGATCTTCAGCTTTCCCTCTTTCCGACCACGGTGGAAAAATCGTTTGCGACCGACCTGGCCCACACGCATGCGCTGAACGCCGAGGTGCTCAAGAAGTACTACGCCCACGCCCTGGGGAAGCACTCCTTCCACGTCTGGCTCAACGTGGCACGACCCGCAGGCCGCGGGGAGATCAAACTCGCCTCCCGCAACCCTGCCAACCCGCTCGTCATCAACCCCAAGTACTTGGAAGACCCCTGGGACCTCGACGTCAAGGCAGGAGTAGATGGACTCAAAAAGGCCCTAAGATTGGTCGAAGGGTGAGAAAGTTTCGCAAAAAATAGCAAGAATTAGTTAATTATATATGTAAATGCCATGGACTTTGGGTAGCCAAGTTCTGAATTTTCGGAGTTATTTCCCCGAAAAAGATTTTGTAATATTCAAATTCTCCACTATACGTACGTATGTACTTATGCAATGTAAATTTTTCAAGTAAATTTTCAAGTAAATTTTTCGAATAAAAAACAGCATGGGAAGGCATTCAAGATATGGGTTGCTTTACTTCTAAATTAGAAGTTCTAATCCTCCATGACATGAAATGGAATAATCGTACCAAAGCGAGAAAACGGTTAACGCTTCTTATTCAATGTCTGAAATTGTAATACATGATTTCTAGAAACTATATATTCAAAAACTTAAAATATTTTTAGGATTTTACAGCCAAATTGAATTGAACGAAAAGTTTTATTCTTGAATAATCTTCCAATAATTTCTGCAGCACATTAAATTAATGAAACTTGTACACCAAAAATTTGAAATCTCCCTTTTTGAATCTCTTCATAGATCCACCGCCTTCCAAAATATCGGAGGACGCTTCACCTCAGAAATCCTACCGGGCTGCGAATCCACAAAGTTCCGGTCGGACGAGTATTTCGAATGCTACCTGCGCCACTTCACCGTATCCGCGTACAATCCCGTCGGAACTTGCGCCATGGGTCCGAAGAACTCACTCTTCGCCGTCGTTGACTCGAAACTCCGCGTCCTGGGCGTGACGGGGCTGCGAGTCGTGGACGCGTCCATAATGCCCGCGATCGTGTCGGGGGGAACGACGGGGGCCACGATAGCAATCGCCGAGAAGGCGGCAGACATGATTCTTTCGCATTGGAGCAATCACGTCCCGCAGGAACTGGACGATCTCCTAAACGCCGGTGTTTCTACCTTGGCGCAAGGTCACGGTCAGAGTCATATTTCCAATTCGATCGCGGACTCGGGAACGGCACACTCTGAAACAATAGTGGCCAAGCTGGAGAAACCTGTGAATTTGTTCTTAAATGGGAACAATGACGTTTTGGCGACAAAGGTCACGACCTTGGCGACGACGGCAAGTGGTAACATGATGAAGCATATGAGCCCGTTTTCTGTGACGATAAAGACATCCAGCCCTACACCGATTCCAAAATTGAATATTCCGACCACCACGACGCCCAAGCCGTTTTCGTTCTTGTCTTTTATGTCGTCAACTTTGGCGACGACGACGACGACGACGATTCCAACCACGACAACCACGCCACCACCACCGAAAACGACCAGTAAACCCGTCATGTTGTTCAATTTGGAGGTGAACAGTCCGACCCACATGTCGTTTCCCATCGTCTCTTCAACAACACGAAAACCAACGACTCATTACCAGAAGAAGAAGCCTTTGCGGAAACTGATTCGTCCAACGACCTCGTCGCCAAAGGAGGTCTCCGTGTCGGAATCCTTACTCAAAACGTACGTCCCAGCAACGTCACCACCGGAAACGTCCACAATTTCGTCGTACTACCCGGCACAACTTATTTCCTCGGATTTTCCCGTGCGACAAATCTACCCCGACGTTCCGACAACGTATCGTCCCGAAATTGTCATGATTGACCCGGACAACGAATCCATCCTCGAAAGTCTCGACCCTGTCAAACAGTCGCCCTTACCTCCGAAGGTCATGACCCAGTTCAAAATCGAGCCCGCCATCGAAGAAGCCTCAACCACGAAACCCATCATGTACCAGATCGTGGGAAATGTGGCTGCCAGCCAAAACATCCCGTCCTACCAGTACCACCCGATAGTCGCCAATTCGCCACCAAGATTCCATCGACAGCAGTTCTACACGGCTAAAAATCCATCGCCCACATTCTTCCGGATGTCGCCACCGCCACTGTCGCCACAAGGTGTCGCCACGTCAAGCACGACGACAAGTTCGCCTGTCCCGTTCCAGTTCAACTTTCCACAAGAGGTCTTGGACAATGTTGAGTTCGACCGCTTTACACGGCATCAAAATGGGAACCGATATCTTGAAAAACCGATAAAAACCCATACTCACCAACACCCGGGTAAAGTCGTGAGGCGAGTACCAAAACCGAGTCTGAGTCAGAGTCAGAGTCAAATCCAGGCGAAAATCATGGCCGGGTTGAGACGCTTCATTCCTGGAAGGGGTCAAGGTCAAGGTCAAGGTCAGACTATGGTTCAACCGGCGAATGTTGTTTACCAAGGCGAGGACAGCGTGGGATCGGGAAGCGACCACAATTACGAGTCTTTTGGGCGGATAATTTTCAATAAGTTGCGGGAAAGGAAGCATAATCAGTGGAGGAGGTATCACCAGATAAGTCAACCACACCAGATGATAAGCACCACTTATCACACAATTCCACAAAGTAGTTATATCAACGCTAATTAATTAAGCTCGCACTGAAATTTAAATATTTTTGATATTTTTTTTACCATTAAATCTTAAAAACTTGTTGACTTGTTTTAACTATTGTTATATATTTTTTGTATTAATAACGAGTGCGTGCGTGTGAACTAGTCGGATGGAATATTTTAATGGTTTCTGCAATTTCGTTTAGTTCTGTAGGTAGTATTTTCATTTTGTTAAATAGTTTCATGGACAGTCGATTTGAATGATTTTTTATCTAATGCCTCCGTTATTTGTTGTTATTACCTATAATTACATATAGAGAAGTTTTGTTCAAGTAAAAAAAGTAGAAAATGATTGTAATTTAAAAATTATAATTTTTATAGATATGCAAAGCATTATTATCTATGCAATTTTATGAAAATAACTGTTATATCTTACAAATATTTATGAATGCACACCTCTTTTGTAACTTTTTCAACAATAAATTAAGTGTTTTTATTATGCAAAAAAGTTAATAAAGTATATAAAGTTATAATTTAAAAGTTATAATCTATTTCACTGTAAATATAATTTAAAGGGTCGTGGTATGTGACCTGAGCGTCCGAGGATTAAATACTACGTAGTACTCACAAACGCATTGGGGGAGATCCATAAATTATGTCACGCAAAAAATCCCTTTTTTAGGACCCCCCCTCCCCTGTTGTCACGCCTTTGTCACGCTAGTCGTGACCCCTCCCCCCCTCTTGTCACGTCACGCCTGAAAATCTGAAATTTTCCGATACCTAGCAGGAATAACATTCATATTCGTAAAGTAGTAAATATTGCGTAATAGCAAGACTCACAAGGGAATCTTTTGTGCTGTGTCACCTGGGTTTATTCACAAATTAACTTTATTTTGCCAAACTTCATGAAGCCACGCCTCTTTCATAGAAGATGTATTGCAAATAGCGGTGAAGCGAAATATTTCCTCAATAACGAGTGAAACCCGTGTAATTTTACAGGATAGGAACAATTCTTAGCTCTGTTTATACTCATATCTATCACACCTTTGATGGAGTGAAAATTCATAGCGTTTTAGATTTGTAAATAACAAGCTTTTCCAAAATTCCCGTTATTTTTTTTATTATTATTTTTAGATTTCAAAAGTTGAAAAAAATCCACGAAATTTTTCATTTATTGCTATACATTTTTTTAATTGTTAACATTTTTTAATCATGCAGCTGCCTCCAATTAGTACATATTTTTGAACTATGAATAATATGGTTCTTTCGGACGAATTTTTTAAATTGTGGAAATTTTTGGAGATTTAGTAAAGTTTCTTAATTGTTAAATGTTGTTGAACAAAATTACACCGATTTTTTGAAATTGTACAAACTGTACGGCACTTTACGGCACGGAGTTTTTTTAATTTTAATTTTTTTTAAATAAACAAACAATTGTATATTGTGCAAATTATTAGAAGGCTTGAACAAAATTTAAAAACGTGGTTGAAAATCTTAAAATCCAAACCTTGGTCGAAATTTTGGATGATCATCTTCTCATCTGATATTCGGGTGGACAAATATTTCTAAATAACTGCGAAACTGTAGTTTGGCAGAGAATTAAAATGTGAGTTAAAGTTTGCATTAAGTTAGGCCTGCGAAACGTGATGTCACGGATCGGCCGAACCCCCCCTCCCCATATGTCACACTTTGTCACGGATGCTTGGCACCCCTCCCCCCCATCTTCAGCGTGACATAATTTATGGATCACCCCTTGTAAAACTTATAATTCACGAGATAACAATCCTCAACTGTTCAATGCACATCACTGATTAGTACATTTTTGACTTGACTATTGAAAATTTGACAAAATTTCAAATTAATAGATTCCAGCATAAATTAGAATCCATTTTTACTGCAATTATGTGTAAATGCACACAAAAATTACCAGTTTCTTTATTTCTAATTTCATTCGCTACTTGATCGGAGACATTTTTTCTAAATTATTGCTTTCCTTCGGACAAACATCGCAACTCTGGACAAGGTTCGAATTTATTACGAGCTCCTTTTTGGTAGACGTATTTATGTATCTACATTGTTTGATCAACTGGTGCGAGAAAAACCGATACTGAATTTGAGTCATTACATAGTATTGATCAATCAATTTAAACTGGCTGGATTTCTTTCTGGACTCTTTCTCTGCACTTTCACTCCATCCGATCCCCGTGTTTCACCTTTCCTAATATCCACATCATCATGCCAAACTTGAGTTAGCATTCTTCCTCGATAAGTTAAAATTCAATTACGCTTAAAGTCAAGACAAAGCATAACAAGTTAGAATCAAGCCCATACTTTAGCCCTGTATACATACTTGAGTGGATTGCTTTAATAAAAAACCTATCAGTACAGCTTTGCATAGCCCGAACCAGGAGTGATTAGTAAAACCATGTTTGTCAGTCGTTTTCTATAAAATTATGTTCCACTATTTTACACTAATTTGTGCATTAACTAGCATCAATCTTTCGCACTACTAGGCTCCAAATTCTAAAAATATTTACTATCCATTGTCGTTGACTACTTCCCAATGGGGATCGCCTCTATAACCCCTCCGGTTAATTTTTGTTCATATTTAACTTTTTTTATTTCATGAGAAAGCAGTAAGGATCTCTGGTCCAAATTTCAGCTTTCTATGTTAATTTATAAAAGTCGGTATGGGTCACCCCATAGAGTCGCTCTAGATAAAAATTTTACCAATTTCATGTCATATTCTTCCATTAGGACCCATAAGCAACCTCTCCACCAAATTTCAGCTCGATATGACAATTTTGAAAAATCAGTATGGGTCACCCCCTAGCGTCACTCAAGATGAAAATTTTTCCAATTTGAAGTCATTTTTATCTATTAGGAGCCATTAGCAACCTCTGTGCCAAATTTCAGCTTTCTACGACAATTTAGAAATTTTGGTGCACAAGACCCAACCCACTCTGATGACCCCCACCGGTCAACCTCTTGACCGATTTCGCCCATCTTCGAACTCGTTTCCTAACTTTGTCTAATATGCATATGGTAAAAATTTCAAGTTAATCGGTCAACTCGTTCGAGAGTTATCGAAAGACAGACGGACGGACAGACGGACATGACAATTACATAAGCCCTGGTTCGGGCTAAAAAGAGTGCAGTAAAGGTTATCGATCAAGCTCAGAATTTTAAGTTCAGCAAATCTGATAATTATTTTTACCTGGAAATACACCTTGATTATCTTCCTGTTCGGATCAGGTAGGATTTCAGGAGGACAAGCTTTTCAAATAACAATAAGTTAAACTTTTCTGCTTCAATTTATTCGAATATTTGTTGGTAGATATTTCGTGTCGAATTATTACCAAATCGTAGAGTCGGTAGCAGATTACTACCACATTGTATCAAGCGCATTATTTCGCAATTTAGTTTTCTCATCGAACTTTCCACACGTAAGAATTGGGCTTGTCTAAATCTGCAGGCAGGACAATGTCACTCCTCAAGCGGAAGACCCCTTCGCAAAAGGAGCTGGACCAGCTCTGGTCCAACCTCACGTTCGGAACGTCTCATCGCAACCGCCAGATTTCTGATGCCGTGATGGCGTCGGGGTTCCACCTCTGCGACCAACGCCGCGAGGTTGCGGTGCACGCCGAGAGCGAAGTTCAGTTCCAGCTCCATCAACGTTTGCAGGACATGTCGCTCTGGGTGGCAGAGTTCACTCGGAAATCGGAAGAGGTCACGGCCCAAGTGGAACGGGTCAAAGGTTATGCTGACAGAGTCAAAAATGCGGCAAAAGCAGTCGCACCGATTTTAACCGTGGACTGGGACGTGTTCAAAATGAGGTGAAAGATATTAAATTCATGGTATTATTTTTTCTGCAGAGTTGAATTCTTCTACTACTTTAACTTTTTTAAATGAATTTTTTGCACATTTTGTTTGCCAAGCATATAAAATTTTACGTGAGATTTAGCTAGTTGCACAATATTTAATAATTTTAGTCAGTGGGCGCGGAAGACGTGGGGACATTAGCATTAGGGGTGGGAGGGGTTTATATAACATATAAACCAACCCTTCCGCGGTCACTGCTTTTAGGGTGGCAAATATGCATGTGCATTTTACAGGGAAGCCCGCATCGGAGTTGACCTCGTGGCTGACGACCCGCACAAGGCGTTGCTGTTCGAAGTGGGCATCTTGGAGGGGGAGGAACAGCGCCTGATTGTCCTGCACCTTCGTGTCGAGGAGTGCCTGCGCCTCTTGCGAAGGATGGGCTACGTGCTGGGCAAAGAGTTGGACGACCGGAAATTGACGGTCCAAATTGACCACACCGCCCTCGCGCTGGACGCACATTCCAGCCTAGTCGTTGCCCACAATGGGGGTCAGATTGGTGGGGATGAGTCGAAGGGAATGGCAGAGGCCAAGTCAGGGCGAGGTAGCACAAGGTAAAATGCATTTGGAATTACGGTACTTTCTGAAGCGCCCATAATAATTCAGAAAATTACCAATTAAAGTTAAGTAACCAAGTTTAATTGGTAATTTATAGTCGATTAATTAATTACATGCGAATTAATTGTTTACTCACTATTTAGGAAAATTAAGCTTCAATTGAATGATTTTAGATTAAAATTGGTAATTATGCAATGGGTAGTTTATATATTTTTGCTCTTGATTCAGGAACCCCCTCCTGCCCACGCTGGAGAACGAGCAGACCTGGGAATCACTTTCCTGGAAACATTGCGCCGCGGCAGAAAAATTGCTCAAAGACGCCGACGCGCTTCTCGTCCTGGTCGAAAGCACGCTCCAGTCGAGCTGCGAGCGAATCCAGACCGCCGTTTGCGACACGAACGCCGCATTTGAGGCACGACTCATCGCTCTCCGCAGGCTCAAATGTCACCTTGAAGAGGAACATGAACAGGCAATTTTTGAAAATGATAATAAAATTCACACACATTTTCAAAATGAATAAGAGTAGGTAATTTGAATTAATTAAATTTGCATAATTTTTTCCGCAGATTTCCATCAACATTCGCAACATGGAGGACACGCTGGACAAGGTTAAAAAATCCATCGTGGAAAAGGAAGCCTCCCTCGCGCTGGCAATGAGAAGAATTGCGCTGAGAGCAACGCGACCGAATCTCGAGCTTGTAAAGTATGTGACATATAGTACGCAAATTAAATAGTGTTCGAGTTTTTCTATAACCTGATTTTATTTTTCACAACTTGTAGAGATCAAGTCCAGAAAGGGTTAGAACTTGAGGTGACATCGCTGCAAAATTCGGTGGTTCTGCTTCAACAGCAATTCGCCGCGACACAACGGAGCCTTCGCGCCCTGCTCGCAAGTCAACTTCGCCTCGAGGAGGAAATCAATGTCAAAATGCAAAGTTTGGCAGTGGACGAGGCGAATGTGCTCCCGGCCAGAAAGACGATCAGTGTTCGTTTGTACTGATGACAATGCATTTAATGTAGATATTTAGGTATTCGTTTATTTACGTACATATGTGTGTGTATTATTAAAATTGCTAAAAAATTGCTTATTTGTCTTAAAAATTAAAAATTACGCTTATGAGTATTCATGTCGTTTTTTGGTGTTTTATGCATAATTGTGCATGATTATGCTCTAGTTCATTCTCAATGATGGGACCGATTTTAGTCCTACATTTTCTATTGGATTTGGGGAACAGGTCGGAGTGGTCGGACCAGTGATACACAATACATAGCTACGGATATGCTAAATATTTAAAATAATAAGTAGACAAGTAGTAGCATTTTGCTGCTAATTATAATTGATTTTTTAAATTTCATCTCGCACGTTATGTGCTATCGATTTATAAATATTCTTTATTATGTGTCAAATCGTGAATTTAATGCAGATTAATACGTTCACTCAATGCATCAATCAATTTCTAAAATACGGCACATTCGGGTTTAAATGTGGCATAAAATTAGCATATCCTATCCCACCGCATTATTCCCCTCCTCCTCCCTACCTCCAACCCAACCTTATTCCAGGGAGACGTCGGTGAAAGTGAAAGTGAATCAAGTTCCAGAAAGCCCGTTAAAAAGGTAACAATGGGAAAAAAGGAGAAAGCTACTTGTCCCCCGTGATCAGATTTTTTCCCACTTTCTCCTACCTCCACTTCACCCGGGATTCATGCTCTCATTGTGTTTCTCCAAAATTCAATAAACTTGTAAAAAGAGAAAGTTTTCTACCAAAAGTACCTCCAAAGGAGTGCCTTTTCTCGGAAGGAGAAAGTGCGGGGAGGAACAGAACTGCGACCAAAGTGCCAACAAAGACTGAGTTAATTAAGGATTAACACCAACTTTCTCGCTCTTATCACTAGAACGATTTTATCCACCACCTTTTCGAAAGGAAAACTTGACAAAATTATTTGAGATGTGAGTATATTTGTACTTGCGCCCAGGATTTAGGCATTTATGGCACGTCTAATTTGTCGGACTTTAAATTCATGCCACACAGATAAGATCAATGTTAAATAAATGTCCAGGGGACATGCACATTTTGTCATGACAAAAATGCCAGACATTGATTTACACGTACAACTCTTCCTGTGTGTCGAATATTGGAAATTATAAGAATTTTGAGAGACTCTATGACGTTATTTATAAAAAACGAGTAGATTTCGCTCTGTTTTGTTAACATTTCTACTCGAATCAAACTTGGCATGGAATAAACACCGGGTTGTTGGTAAAGTTGAACTTTGAGTCCACTCATCCTCCCAGAAATCGTTACCACCCTGGTGTAAAAACTTCTCTCGAGGTAACATTACTCTTTATAAGTTATATACACGTGTTAGTTGCGTAATGAGTCTTTCACCCCAAATTTAAACCCAGGAACAAAATAACTTTCTTTCTTTTAAAAACGAGCAGAAAGTTGGTAGTTTTTGAAGAAGAGTGAAAGAGCTGGAAAAAAGGAAACAATGTGGCCTTGATTGACACGGGATTAGATTGGATGAAAAGATTTGGTCGTGTTGAGCGTAAAAGCGTAGGAGCGACGAAGGAAGGAATGCGACATGGAGAAAGTGAGAACAATGAGAGAACACTTTCACCGGGATAAGTGCCACTTATCCTTCCACTTGACGACACACATGCACAATAAGACAATATCATCACTACTACACGACACCTAAGTCCCAGGGTTCTCTTCCGCTACTGTCATGAAAAAGTGTCATGTAAAAATCCGGGTAGAAAACGGGAGCATTTTCGCATCTGATAACCGAACACTCAATCGCAATCTATATTTTTTTTACCCAGGTCGAAGTATGCATTAGCTAAAAATTAATAAATTTCTACAAACATTCCTTAGACTAAAATATTGAGACGATTCATTTAAAGTATTTTCTCCCATTTCCAGCATCAAAAGTTCTAATTTTGTTTTGCGAAACCTGTTCCTTCTCGAGTGAATTTGATCCGAGTTGATTTCTACTCGAGGGAAAGATTGAGTTTTGGCCAGTCTCTCATTTCCTCCTCTGCAGATAACGTTTGCAACTTTGTCTCAATACCTGCATCACTTTCTCCCCTCGTAGTGCACCCGAATATGCAAATCACTGCACTACTTTTAATAACTACGTGTAAAAATCTTTTCATATCCAGACATGCGTAGGTGTCGTAAACCTCGACTCTGGATCGTTTTCTGCCTAATGCGACATAATACAGTGGGAAAAGGCATTTCAATCTCGTAGCCATTCCAGGTCCATGACACGGTATTATCATATCTCCAACCAAAGTATCTGTATAACACTTGGGAAATTTGACGACTTTCACCCCTATGCGAATCATCTCATGGTACAATAAAATAAAATGAATGGTTTGGCGTGGGGAAGTTATCTCTCTGCGCCCAGCACGACGAGCTGAAGGACACGAGCCAGGGATGGCAAACAAGAAATCAAAGTCAACCCATGGTTTACGTGAAAGTCTATAAATCACCAACATTTGGACACCTCTGCTCCTCTCCTCCTGCTCCCACCGCACCCTTAATAATCACAGGCTCAATAAGTACACAGAATATTGGAGAGATTGCTTGCTTAAAAAATGCAAAGATTGCAAAGGACTTAAATATCCTTAAAATATTGTACAAACGTTGCTGCAGAAATAAGTCAGACATTTTAATACTTAACATTTTAAATCGTATCCGAAATTTGTACCATACGCCATGTTATAAACATCAGTGTGAAGTTTACAATGTGAACTGCTGCACTGGTTCAAAATTTTGTACGAATTTATAGCATTTAGGGTTTCGTTTGTCTCGTCCAATACACATTTTTCCCAGGATAGGTGGAAAGAAATGGAAAAAATAGTTTTCTTACAGTCCAAAATGGGAAATATGGGGAAAAGTCGGTGGGATAAGGCAAAAGGACATTTCTTCCATTTTCTATGTATTTGGGACGGTGGTAAAAAGTGGACGACAATTTTGTCCATGGACTAACTCTGATGGCATTAAAACACTCGGCTTACTTGATTAGTTGAGAATTAGTTAGATTCTAGTGAACAAACTGACCCAGCAAAGGAGCGAATTATTGTTTAATGTGTCATGCATATATATATTTCAGGTCTGGGTTTGGTTTATGGTACGCACTTGAGTGTGCGATTCACAAAGAAATGAAACATATCTTGCTTTCTATCCCCCATAAATCGGACGCCCAGGGTTTCGTAGGAGTTAAAAACTCGTGCAGGTTTTCGTACTGTAGAAACTAAAGAAAACCCACCATCGGAGTAAATTTTTAGTAGTTTTTGTGATAACTTTACTCATGATCTCTGCAAAATTATTGAAACATTTGTCAGCTTATCCAATTTAGCAAATGTATAAATTAAATTACATATTTATAAATATGAAAACGACAATTATTAAGTAGCGTCAGCTACTTATTGTGATCACTTTGTCTGTCTGTCTGTCTGTCCGTCCGTCCGTCCGTCCGTAAGCAGGATATCTTTAGAATGCCTCAACATAATCAAAAGCGGTTTTCGCCATTGTACTTCTAATTTTTAGTTCTCGGTCGAGTTCGAAAATGGGGTCAATCGGACTACCCCCCACTGCGCCAGGGGGTGTGGTCCAAAATTAAATTCACGTTAATTTTCATATGGGGTATCATTTTAAAGGAAATTTCGCTACGAATTCAATGACGCCAATATTTTGACCTTTGACCTCGTCGCCAAGGTCATGAGGTCAAAAAACACTTAATTCTCATATGGGGTGTCATTTTAAAGGAAATTTCACCACGAATTCAATGGCGTCAAAATTTTTGACCTCGTGACCTCGAGGACGAGGTCAAAGGTCAAAAAATTCATAATTGTCATATGGGGTGTCATTTTGAAGGAAATTTGGCTGCGATTTCAAGGAGATCAATATTTTTGACCTCATGATCTTCAGGACGAGGTCAAGAGTCAAAAATACAGAATTGTCAAAGATGATCTAATTTTAAAGGACATTTCGATCATTCTGACGCTACTTTTTTATATTCGTTTGTGAGGGTTTTTTTTAGGGTACCTATCTAATCTAAGCAAGTAAGCCAAATTAAACTTTTGTATAATTAGTCATCTTTGGATTGTAACCTTCACATATTTAGCTAAAGCTCTATTTGCGAAACTTTGGCATATTCACCTAATTTTTTTTATCTGTTATACGTCTTCCATAAGAAAAAAATGAAGGAGAAATCCAAAAATTCAAAATCCGGCATTTTATGTTTGACGATTTAATAAAATATTTTCGTTATTTCTGCATATAATTTAAAAATAGAACCTGAAATTGAAGAACACGTGAATAAAAGTTGAAATGAAATGAAAATGAAAGAAACTATAAACGATAATATGTGCGTCTGTTGTTTAATGAACGATAAATTATGAGAATCGAATATATATATAATATATAAACATGCATATTTTTTCTATTTCACGATTCTGAAAATTATTGAATAGACAAAAATCCCTATACTTTGGAAACCCTGCCACTTTCAAGAATTAGCCTCATGTGCAATTAAAACTACTGCAGCAATTTGCTCGATTTCGCTTTCCCTCGTTCCAAAATTCCTGATTGGATTCCAGAAACTATGTTGTCCTTCCCGTTGCACCTTCGAATCCTGGATCAGATTTGGAGGGGTCGTTCATCCAGAAAGTCAAGCTTTTTTAATGGGCACGATGTAATCTAAAATCTCTCTGCCAACCTGGACTCTTTTTCATCTGCCCAAAATATTCGTCGAAATTCAGACAAAACTAGGGAAGGAAAATTAAAAAAATCATCTACATTCTTTGAGATGTAAAAGTTCCGTCCGAAAATTTCCAAAATTCCCTAAAAAATTCTACCCAAATTCCACCCATCCTACCCGCGCGCCCCCACCTTATCTCTGTGCAATCGCAATCACATTTTCCATACCATGATAAGAGCCAGCCTATAACAGAGTGTGATCTTTGACATGGAGAAGAATTCTCGGGAGACCCGACCTACAGGGTCGACCAGCGACAGATGATACTTTCTTCATCCGCGCTAATAGCACGGCACCCTT